TGTGGAATGATAATATTCGTGTTGGACATGTGCATGTACCGGTCGTACTAAGCGATGTGATTAGCTGGCGTCAAACTTGGGATTGGTATGGAGACGAACCTGATCCTTCTGAACGAACCCGATCAGCCCCATACCAGCAAATGTTTGTAGATTTGCGACATTTTCATCAGTTTGTTCGATAGGAACTGCTGTACGTCCGTACTCGTACCCTTTGGCGAGGTCATCGCGTTCAACGTCGATCTTACCCCCTGGTGCAGAGTCGTCTGTGATCTGATATGTCCGTGATGTCCGCACTGAGGCGAGAGTATCGTCTTCGCTGCTGCCTTTGACCGGTGCTTGACTTCCGGCTTCAGTGCCGGAGCGTGGCACAAACGAGCTTGCTGAGATCGGCTTGGCGACGTAAGTTCTGAAGTATCGCTCAACGGGTATAGTGATTGCTGTGTCATACTCCTCGGGATTGCCTAGCATGAGATTTCCCTTAAAAGATGGCATGCTCTTGGTCACTTTGATGCGGGGAATATCCAATTCCGAAACAGCTTGCTCCAGCGTTCCATAAACACCTTCGCAGTCCTCAGTCAGGCTTCGGAGAAGAGTTTCGTTTTCGGCCTAACGTGAACTTGATTAACATAATTATTGGAATACATTGAAGACAGCGTAGTACCTTTCGACTGTCTTTGTCCTCTTCTTTTGCACCATACTCAGCGTCATCGAAATCGGCACCGCTAAGTAGTATTAGCATGAATGTAAAGTCACACCGGCAAGAAACATACATGATCACCAACTCGATGTTGACTTCTTTCATCTTTTCAATGATACCTTCGATATTATCATCGCTCATCACACCGGTACCATTGGTCACCAGAACGATCTTGCGCTTGTATTTGTTTTTCTTGGTGTACTCAATGATCATCTGCATGGCAATGACGATAGAAGAGATGGCTTGTATGAAGTCAGAACAAGCAGCCTGTGAAGACCTAAAATGTCACATACCATCGCCTCTGTCAGTCTTGCTGGGTTTGATCGTTTCTCGGAGTTTCCGGATATCAGGCATGAGGACCCTGAAAGACAATTTAGTCAAGTGACTTGACATAAAACAGTCAATTTATCAAGCCACACGTACTGACCAAGGCCGAAGAGGACAGAGATATTAGAGAAGTTCTCTTCTTCCAAGTCGTTGATAGTCCCTGCTCCGAACATTAGACAAGGCTCCCACTGGGTGCTGACTGGCAGGCTACCACTAACCATCTGTTCTGAGACCAACCACGCCAACTGTAGCTGTCTTGCGACCTGTAGCCACCTGGACTGGTCAGTTCTCTGGTGTTGAGCAAATTCAAGTCACATACCGTGGCGGTGATCCTATCCCAGACATACTGCATGGCCCATTCGAGATCTGTCATAGGACGGCCATGGTGGCGCTCGCCCATAGACCGTCCCATGTCTACAATGTAGACTGTAGCCTCTTTCTCTGCCATGATGATGATGATGTTAGGAAAATGGCAAGTCAAATTTGCTTGAGGCTCAAGACAACAGGCAGACGCGTGATATTTCCACTTGCGGTTTAGACCGAAACGCGAAGGCACATGACATCACCCACCGTCTTTGTTGGTGTTTGGTGGTCTGTGCGTCGTTATAAGACCGACTTGCCCATTTGGCAGTGGAGGTAAAGCTTTTACTAAGAATTGGGCTGTAGCGATAAATGACACTTCTTCCCCCTCGATGCAACCTCGTTCCAACTTTATCCCCAACTCAACTCTCCCGCGGTTATAAACAAATCCGAAATTATGGATCCTCGCCCCTATCATGTTCTCAGGTTTGTTTATTAACTAAAACTATGGCTTATGTTTGTGCTAATAAATGAGGCAGCTTCGGCACCCTTCTAGGGACCCAGTTCTACCAGGTGAGATCGATATCTGAACCGGGCGCATATCGAATCGTCCTCTCCAAAAGCATTGTCTGATATATCTAAAGTCTTTTGTCGGAGGCTTTGTTGCTTTCCGTGCACTTCCGCGTCCCCAATTCGCTAGCCTGCAGACCGCCATCTTCCCCATCTACTTCTCACTGCAAACTGCACTGCCTGTAGTGGTCGCCTTGACCGCTTCTCATGGCGGACAAGTGTTGGGCCTGTCTGGTCTCGCTGCACCTGAGAACCGCCTTAACACCCTCTTGCCTCTGGCAACTGTGACAGTGACCGGATTGGTGAACATGTTCGTGTTGCGTCCCATCACCACCAATGTGATGCGCGAGCGGAAGCATCAAGGTGCGTGAATTGCTGGCACTATCTTTCGGGTAAAAGTCAGTTGAATATTCTAACCTTTGCAGAAACCCGTGATGGAAAGAGGAGCTACGACCCGGCACCTCACTCCAAGGAAATGCTGGCCCTGAACAAGAAGTTCGGCCGCGTGCATGGCATCTCAAGCTTGGTCAACTTGGTCAGCCTGGTTGCTACGGTCTGGTACGGTGTCGTACTAAGCAAGAGACTTGAGTAATCTGAGAACAGCAACCAACAGCAATACTCAATAGCAGGTTTGATGCATATAGCCCCTGTGCATATTTCGTTCATTTTCCCCCTCTTGTCTACTGTATAAATGAAAATACATGATTCATTTGACTCTTTAATCGTCAGTTGGAGAGCTAGTGATTTCATAGCCTGAAATTATATCATGTCCACAAAGCTAGAGCTCAATGATAGGGCAAGCACATCCCATAATCGGTCAAAATCGGGCTGTTCGTCGGAGAACACCTGCTGCAGCGACTACCTCACTCCACTCTCTTCTATGTGCGGGGTATTGCAGCCTATCAAGGCAAATCTAGAGCAGTAGTGAGAATAGCTTTAAGCTTCAAGAGTAGGGGGGACTAAAGGGGACATGCTTGCTTTGTAGAAAAAGCGTTCTTTTGCCCCCGACTTTGAGACAACTAGATCGGCGAGCTCACATTTAGTCCGGGCGATCTTCCCCACGGCATCATCCACTAAAAGGCATAGAGTGCCTCATATAACATAATTTAGATGGGTATCCTGCACTCCCTCAAAAAGGGCGGGAGCACTATCAAATCATTGGATAATGAATCCTCGTACCTTGGGGCAGAGAATTGCCGAACAAACCGAAAAACAGGGCAGAGTGTTGCGCACGGAAGAAAGAGCTACCCTTCTCTGTCACTTAATATTTTCTAAACGCGGAGGTTGCCCATGGGGGTCGAGTAGACTGGTGAATAATGTATCAATTTCTGGGTCACCGCCAAATGAACACCAATGACATCGAAGTCAATACCCAGAGAGTAAGAATACGAGCACTAAGATCCATATTTGGCTGGCATTCGACAATTAAACCAAGTAATCGAAGCAAGAGATGATCAGCACAAGGCTAATCAATCAACGGGCCATTTGAGGAATTTTTACATCATCGCGTGCAACTTCTAGAAGCCGACTTTGTTACCTGCACAACGCAACGGACCATGCGAGTAAAACGAGTCAAGTCTATTCGAATATCCCCTATTTAAGTAACTTGCGGCCATTGCAAAGAATTTCGGACTTTCGTTTGAGTAGATAGGGATTAGTGACCTGGTGGCCTGATATTTGAACACCCATTTACTTCATTCTTCTTGGCAAGTCATAGTTTTCTTTCCACCGATTGCTTCACTGTCGACAAACATGATAGGCACAGTGAATGTGTGCGAGATGGACCTCGGGAGGAACTAAACACGCAATAAAAGATTGATTGCTCCGTCTTCAATATAGGTTCGTTTTGAGGTCTTTCATAGAGAGAGAAGGTACAGCCCTCAAAGGTCCTGTGGATACACCCAATAGACATTGATGTTGATGGGATTGATAATGCGGGGCTGGTCTTATTTAGCACATCTTTCATTGATAATCTATGCATGGCATATTAGATTACTTGCACCGGCATTCAAAATATGCTAGGGGAGTGGGGGGGATTAGCTGCTTCGCCTATTGGCACTTTAAAAAATTAAAAAACATCCATGGATGATATCATCTGATATAGTCCAACACGTGATAGTGTCTCAAACCAATTAAAAAAAAAAAAAGGAATTCTAGAACACTGGGGATATACATGGCTGATGTTGTACGGCATGTATGCACATAGCCAATACTTCATATATTAGTCCGCATAAATGCGTTACGGATCACAATTTCTCAGAAAACATTGAGAATTCGACCGAAGCGACTATCATTACGGTGAGTGGAATGAGTCCCGGAGTTTTCTGCACTTCCACATCCTAGTGGCGAACGACCAAGTTGTCGGGACCAACGGTGTGAATACTGCGTGGCTAGCAGCGAATGGAACAATTTTCTGACATGGATACGAGGATTTGGGCAGAAGCACGGATACAAGTACTTACGCTGTCCGCCCCACTCTAGCCCTAGTCACTTGGTTTTAATAGGAGTTCGATTTTGCAATCTCAAGACAATATACTAACGCGATGTTATACATAAGCTACTGCTAGATTCGTAGTATACTCCTGTATATATCATTCGAACCCAATGGGGTGCATGGCTGGCACATACACCTGTGGACCTCAGCCCGTTGCACTGCACCTCTGATTGGCCGAGAAACAGCCCCTTTTTGGCACTGCGGGTCATCATACGGCAGTAGGCTAATCATCTTAGAGCGATCAATACGCTAGCTGTTGCCTAACCACTTAGATTATCCAACTAACGCCCATTGAAAGCCGTTGCACGGGATATGTACCCCCAAAGCTAAGGAAAAGTTACGTCTTGGCAGCCTTCTTTACGCAAAGGAGCAGTTATCCGGCTGACAGCATGAATGTTCGTTGAGTACAACGTGGTAACGCTGGACCCGACAACCTGGGACGCTAACAACTGCCTTGAAGACAGAGGGGTCATAAGGGGGGTCATCGGACAGCAGTCGGTGTGCTTGCAGTTTTCACTTTTCACTTTTTTCTGATCCCTTCCATCACCAGTTTAAGTTTACATCGCACTTTGTTGCATCCGTATACTATCTTGTAGATCAGAACTATCGAGGATGCATCAAGAGACGCATCACGTATCGACCTCCGTCGAGCCTAATGTTAGTATTTCATAGAAACATCTTTTTTTTTGCACACCATTTCCTCTGCTTATTCAACTAACATAATTAGTATGACACCGACGAGGCCTCAATATACCCTGACTCGTAAGACCAGTGACTTGTGATGATGTGTATATCCTACTGACCATGATAGACTTGATAACGTCAGCTACACCACAAGCGTGACATCGAGCGTGCTGGACTATCAGTATGTTAACATGACTGAAATATTTGTTCAATGGTTTCTAATAATCGCAGATATGAAGTGTGTTCCATCGCCACTTGATCACGAACTGTGCTGATTAGATACAGAATGGTCGCAGATATCATTCATACCATGAAGGAGAATACATTCTAGTACATGATCCTGTCAAGGTTTTGTCTCTGTCTCAGACTAATGTTCAAACAGCCAAATGATGAACGCGAACAAGATCGCCTTGATCTAGTAAATTTTCACTTGATTCCCACGAGACAGAATTTTGCTGATCGACAGAGCCACCACATTTACCTAATGCTCCTCAAGGGAGAATTGTTCCGAGCACCAATCAAAAATCCAGAGCGAGTACTAGATCTCGGGACAGGAACAGGTTTATGGGCAATCGAGTATGCAGAGTAAGCTTTTTCCCCTCAAGATATCTATCAAATCTATCTCTAACAAGCAATATAGTACATACCCAAATTCACAGGTGATTGGTACAGGCATATGTCTACAGCCCGATTAGAACGTTGGCTGATTGAAATAGGAATTGACCTAAGCGCCATTCAGCCATCATGGTATGTGCTACTGCTACTATATTGGTTCCTTATACAATATTGATACATGTCCAGGGTGCCTCCAAACTGCCGCTTCGAGATAGACGACTTTGAACAACCATGGTCATATAGCAAACCCTTTGACTATATCCATGGGCGCGAATTGGAAGGTTCCATCCGTGACCATGAGATTCTCTTCAAACAGGTCTTTAACAATCTGAATCCCAATGGATGGTTCGAGATAGCGAGCTTCGATGTCAACACATATTCGGACGACGGAACTCACCTCGGCGCAACAAATTTGCTTCTATCCATTGAGCACATGCACGAATCATCGCGCATGTTTGGCAAGGACATGACATCGTCTCTATCTTGGAAAGATTGGATGATAAAGGCCGGGTTTGTGAATGTCATAGAAGACGTCTATAAGGTATGTTCCGCTATCCCTTCTTGATGATGAACCCCTATGCTTATTGATGAATAGCTGCCCCAAAGTCCATGGCCCAAAGACCCCAAGCTCAAGGAGCTTGGTCGGTACCATCAACTCAACATGCTTGAAGCTATTCCAATTTACACATATGCATTGTTTTCAAGAGTGCTTGGGTGGACACGCGCCGAGATTGAGGGGCTGTTGGCAGGAATTCGAATGGAGTTGCGGGATACATCATATCACCTGTACACGAAAGCGCGGGTAGTTTACGGTCAGAAACCCGGAGACCAGTGAGTGTCTCATGATGTAAATAGAAAAGTTACCTATGTATATCCTTCTAAATTTAGAGTTAAGCGTGGTCGCGGATCTCGGGAGTTCCCGGGGCCATAATATCTCCACTGTTAATGCCTTGATGCTCAGGCAAATACTATGCACTCAAATTAACTTTTAGCGTAGTGAGCATAAAGATAATCTGTTCACTTTGAGGTATCTATCTCCTAGTTGGGGTAGTGAAATGCAAAATTCATATTCTGGTAGTTGGCTTCGCGTCGGAGTAGTTGTAGAATGTGCACTCAACTACTCCGTACCTTGTCCTGGTATACAAACCCTGAGACTGAACATTCCTTGTGGGTGTTAACCCAGGTAATGGAAATAATCCTGTTCAATTCCTGTCTCCATCCTTTCCTTCGGTCTATCATTTTCTATTTTCTTCTCGTTTTCATACTTACTCCCTCCGGGATTGAAACCCGCAAATGGATATGTATCATAGATGTAGCAATAGGAGAGAGAGGTGTAATGAATGTGCATTAGGATATTAAGAGGTATAGGTTATCGAGAGAGATATATATGTCTTGGAGGAAATAGCCAAATCCTCAACATCCCAGGAACTCCGCCCGAAAGAAGGGTAACGCCATGTTGGAAAACAGACCTCGCCTATATTCCGCAAATCAAACGCCAGTATTCTAAAAGTGTTCGTCGGTATCGTGAAGAAGATGCTTGTGAAAAGCAGTTGGGGGCCAGGTTTGATAGTAGGAAGATCGCATATCTTGCATGCCCACGATCGTCGAAGTATTAGGATGGCGTTCCCTAGAAGAAAAGCTCCACTTTTTTGCCTTTCTTGACAAAAAATCCGAATCCTGTGTGTTTCTTCAAACAATATTAGATCACAAGTTCGAGAATGATGTGGTAGACTGTAAAACACCCACCATTGTCAAGCTATCTTTGCCCAGAATAACGACCCGGTGGGAAAGTATACTCGTCATCCATATCCTCTTTGGCCGCCATGAGAGGCCCCCACTCCTTTTTGATCTCCTTCCATTGTTTCTTCAAGCGCTCGAGAGGTGAAGGGTGTGGTTTCTCCAGGGTAGCGTTGAGATCCTCGACGGAGGAAGACTGTGACTTGCTCATTCTAGGGGTCGATTCTTGCAAATCAATATGTTCAGGCATGATGTGTTGTTTATTTGTAAAGTTTTCGACTTCTACTTCGAAGTGCATTTGCGCGGCGATTTCGCGGACTTTATATCTATATTTCTTGAGATATGGATGACATGTCAAGTAGGGTCACTTGAAAACTGTGAGCCGAGTCTTATCCGACTGACTACCGAGATATCACCGCCGACTTATCTCCGCCGTGCTGCCCTGAGGAATTTTAGGGTTTTCTTTTTCTATTTAAGGTTTTATACTTCGCATCTTCAAGAGCTTTGAAGGTTATATATCTCGTACTCGAACTAGAATATACATATGTACTATATGGCAGACTCTTCAGAGCCTCAGAGCAGTGTTGTATACGCCAAGTGATCATATTTCGGGGAGACATTATATTTCATCATGGACGGCAGAAGTCGGCCGTAGGACTAGCTAGGGTGATCGATGGAAAAATTCCATCTGCGGCGCAGTGGTTTCTTATCCATGTCCTAAAGGATTGAAGGAATCCTAGAAAAGACGCAGTGCAAAAAGAAAACATCGGCAAAGTTGCCAAGCGACACCAGAGTTTACCAAGACTTTCGCAAAGCCCATAAATAATAGGCCCTACCTTCGAAACCCGACCCAACCCACAGCCCATTAGTGGGGGCCCATAAGGCCCCCATTAAAGCCCATCTTAGGCGGCCTCTTTAATCGCTGTATTACAACCTTCTACTAGTTGTATAAAGTTCAAATTCAGAATCTAGATTTATAGTATCTATATAAGTATATTTAATTTTGAATAAAATCCGACCGGTAGAGGTCGCCAAAAATGTTAATGTTAATATTTTAGTAAGATGTGTATATATTTATATTTTATATTTATAGCGGGTAAAACGAAGGGTGATTTTAAAAACCCTGAAAGGGGGGTTTAACTTCTGGTTTCTCGGCATATTTACACTGTTTGGGGCCCATTTGGGGGCCCATTAACCCGCAGTGGGCTTCTTTCTACCTTAGGCCCATAGCCCATCGTTGGGCCCGAGGCCGGGCCTAAGACCCAGCCCATCTGCGGGTTGGGTCCAGGTTGGGCTTTGGGCTTTGTGGGCTCTGCGGAAGTCTAAGTTTACCCTATCTTGCCCTTCTTTTCTTTCTTCTTTAAAAGTACGTAGTTTCTAGAATTTAAGCGCAATTTCCTCCAATGCTTCACGAAATGGGTTTTCTTTTTGAGTTGGGTCCATGACCGTGTAATGATTATCCATCTATCACTGAAATTACTATCTGCTGCGATGAGGCTCTTCAATGTTGAAGTACTCATAAACCAATGAAAAACAATACCGCTTATCCCCGCCCATCCCCGCCGGCCATGCCGCCAATCGGAGCCCCCCAACCAGCCCGCGGGTGATGGACCGCGGACTTTGCCGCGGTTTAAGTCCATCAGACCATTTAATCCAAAAAAGCTGCCCTTGGTCGTAAAGTATTTAAAGCTTTCAGACGTAGCGGGAAAGAGGTAAATAGCGAAGCTCAATTTTACTCGGAATCAATACAACCCCTCGAAAATATGAAAAGCGAATCTATAGTGATCATCGGGTCAGTGGGAGTCAAAACACGCGATGACTGTTTCAGAGCCGTAATGCTGATTTTTTGAAGGGCTGGCGTGATCGGACTAAATGTTGCCCTCGTTCTCGCTGGAAAGGGCTATGGCCGACATGCGACCATCATTGCAGAACATCTTCCAGGAGACACTTCGATAAATTACACTTCACCATGGTTTGTTGGGCCTTGCTGCCAGTTCACATTCACAAAAGATTAACCGAAGCTTAGGGCTGGTGCCAATTTCTCTGCTATTTCTGCAAGCGACCCGAATGCGTTGAGATGGGACAAGCTTGGATATATGTATCTTCTCAATCTTGCAGCTAAGGATGGCAAAAATGCGTTTGTGAAGGAAACACCTTCGGTAGAGTATTGGGATGAGTTACCATCCCGTGAGAAGATCAATTCTATGGCCGCATATCTCAAAGATGTGAGTTATGGATGACTTCATTGTATATCCTAGAGTTGCTTATCGATATTGCTATCGAACAGTTCAAGGAGATTCCCACGCAGGACCTACCAGCGGGTGTTGCATTTGGCATAGAGTTCACAACAATAACGCTAAATGCGCCAATGCACCTTCGATATTTGTTCCAGAAGCTCACCCAGGAATACGGAGTGCGAGTCATTCGCAAAAAGCTGCCCCAAGTCTCCTCCGGCTATCTCAGCAAAGATACTAAGATGGTATTCAACTGCACCGGGAATGCAGCCAAAAAGTTACCAGGGGTCCAGGATTCAAAGTGCTTTCCCACTAGAGGTCAGATTCTACTTGCAAGAGCATCTCATGTTCAACAAAACATCATGAGACATGGCAAGGACTATGAAACCTATGTGATACCTCGGCCATACTCGAATGGAAATGTGATCCTCGGTGGATTCATGCAAAAGAACGTTAGGTAAGTAGGGCCCTTTCAGCCCCTTGTAAGAACAAAATTGGTTCATGTTTTTTCCCCTCTTGGGTGCTCCATATAGTTGTAACTAAACCATATTGACAGTACACCGGATACCTTTGGAGAAGAGACAGAATCAATTCTGACTCGAACGACGGATTTGCTTCCTGCTCTAAAATCAAACGAGACTGAGATTCTTGGTGCATTTGCCGGACTGCGCCCATCTCGTGAGGGTGGCGCTCGTGTTGCAAGGGAAACCTTGCAAGTAGGTTCTGCAGGACGCCATGTTGTTGTTGTCCATAACTATGGCGCCGGTGGAACTGGGTACCAGGCTGGATACGGAATGGCGATTGAAGCAGTCAACACCGTGACTGAGGAGATCAACGCACTTGATATTCAGTCGCATCTATAGATGTTGTTCCCAGTGTCCAGTTTGGGTATACTTTTGCGGTATAATGGTTTTTTCGATTTCGTTGACCCGGCAGAAGGACTGGATTGACATGCCCCAGGAAGTTGGCAAATTTGGAAGTTACTGTAACATATAAAACTAAGATTTTGATTCATAACTCGTGTAGTATCGTCATAAGTTACATAACAATCATATCCATCGGTATCCAACCTTCGGAAGCCATGTAGTGATGCAGTCACCGTACCTCTGCTGTGCTAATCATCCCACTTGCTTCGTAGCTCGGGGGAGGAGTTTTGTCGGTATGGGAGTATGTGTCATTATCATCATACTCACCATCATGTTGTGTCACGATGATTTTAGGTATAGGTCGCTCGGCTTTCACAGGTGATAAACATGGAAGCTCAAAGACAGATACAACACTCGTCTCATATGCGAGTTCCGAAGCAACAGTCGAAACCTCAGATGGAGAGAAAAATGCTTTATCCCTGCCCAAAGTGCTTGGTAGTGAGCCAAGGTGGGTAAGAACCGTCTCGACTTTGCCATGCGAAAGAAGCATGCGGGATTCCTTTTTCAGGGCAACTTCATAGTCACGACGCTTCCAACTGCTGCGGCGTTGGGGGCTGATGTGTTGAAATTGCTTCACAAACGCAGCTAAATCATTGGCGGCATTTTCGGCATCGGTGATGGTCGAATTGACCCACTCAAGCTCGATCTCGCCCAGGACTGTGCTTTTGTTATCCCGCAACTGTCTTGTCTGCTTCGCCATGGAATTTACAAGTACAGTTTCTTCGTAAAGCCCTCTGATCTGCTCCTCTGGGGAGATTAAAGAGCCAGTGACTGAGGCAGATTTGATTGATTTCACCTTTGTGGAGGGTGATGTGGTCTTGGGGTTTGTAGACGAGTTTGTTGATTTCGAGTGGAGTGCCCGCGAGTAAAATCGTGACTGTGGAGTCGTTTGCTCTTGGGTTTGCCCATCGCGTGCTGTAACATGTTGTGTTATGTCTTCAATACGAGCGACTCGGTGTAACTGATCTGCTGATTGATTCCATTTCGATACCGATCGATATAGCATTAATTTAGCCGACTGATGACACCGATCCTTCGAATCATTTAATGTGTCTGCTGATTTGTGCCATATTTCCATTTTCGATTGTTGGTAGCGATGTTTCGAATTATCCCACATGGCTGCTGAACGACCAATGAGGCCCCTTGTTGATCGCTGCAATTTCCCTGTCAACTGGCCTTTGGGTCGATACGCGAAGTCGGTGGGTAACATTTTCGGATAAATACGCTTTTGGTGCTTGGAAAAGGATATTTTTGTCTTGGATGTCTCGGAGAAAGATGAGATCTGAAAGGCAGTTTGAATATGAATGAGAAATGTGGAAGAAATGCAATGTAAATACGTTTCCCATATTGGCCCAGTCCTAGGCTAACACGAATTCCGGAAATTAAACATGGCTTTCTTCCAATCAATCTCTTTCAAGCATGTTGATTGCCAGCAAGTTATGGCGATGCTGCGAGGCTGTGTGTTGATAGGCAACTTAGTTAACACTGGAGTGTAGATACACGTTCATCATTGGTCAACTTCTTGGGCATTGCTAAATTTGGGTGTGGATGGTGGGGGCCAAACTGCCTGGGGGCTTGTGCTGCCCAATTGGCGTGGACTTCTAAGGTTCAAATGTCAAAATATATTCTGGTTAACACGAGTTTTTCCTCCGATCCTTGTAGCCCCCTAGGAATCTATGCTCAGCCCTGCCCAGGTGGAGAGCTCAGACTGATCACGGAGGGCGGAGTACAGAGTCAGATATTCCGTTGAAACGACCACGGGTATCACGTGACATATCAACCATTGATGTCGTCATTACAGATTTCCCCGGATTATCTACGATGGCCGTAATTGATGGAAATTCTTCAGATGACATATCCTCGATTTAGTCCACAATAAGGTTAATTCCGGCGGGATAACCCCGAGGTACTATATACTACTTTTAAAAAATTAACTCTAATTTTTTACAAAACTGAGTCATCGAGTTATAAAAGCAGGATAATGCTGCCAATGAATATAGAATACCAGTTAGCTCCGGCATACTAAACATGAGAATTCCACGGGTTTTTGCTTTTGCTGCAGCTGTAGCTGCGGTGACAATTCCACGCTCCAAGAGCTCTTCTCCTACCTCCCTCACAAATGTGACCATCTTTTCACCTCCCTCCGACTACATTGTTCCACGGACGCTTTACCCACGTAACGAGCAGCTTCCCAACGGCGACCTTCTTGCAACATGGGAAAACTACTCCCCAGAGCCACCGGCAGTATACTTCCCCATCTACCGCTCCAAGGACTACGGAAAGACCTGGAAGGAGATATCCAAGGTCCACGACACTGCCAACGGATATGGCTTGCGTTACCAGCCGTTCCTCTACTCCCTCCCCGAGCGCATCGGTTCATTTAAAAAGGGCACTCTACTTCTGGCTGGTAGTAGCATTCCGACTGATCTGTCATCCACACACATCGATCTGTACGCGTCGCAGGACGATGGCGTGAATTGGAAGTTTGTTAGCCACATTGCTGCCGGAGGAGAGGCGCTGCCGAACAATGGACTGACTCCTGTATGGGAGCCATTCTTACTCGCCCAGTATGTTATTTTACCTTGCCTTGAAATAACTTGCTAACTCCCTTCACAGCAAGGGCAAGTTGATTTGTTATTACTCGGATCAGCGGGATAATGCAACCTACGGACAGACAATGGTTCACCAGGTCTCAACCGATCTAAAGACCTGGGGGCCTGTTGTAGAGGATGTCACGTATCCGACATATACTGACCGACCCGGTATGCCAGTTGTGACTAAAGTAAGCTACACCGAAGACACGGATTAAATTGCGATTAGTCTGTGCTATTCCCAGAGAATACTAACATTTCTAGCTCCCGAACGGTCAATACTTCTATATTTATGAATATGGCTCTTTCTTCGGTACCTCAAGCTACTCCTTCCCTATATACTACCGTTTGTCGTCCGATCCCGAAAATATCGCCTCCGCGCCCGGCCAGCGTCTGGTTGTCTCGAGTGGTACTCGGCCAACATCTTCGCCATACGCTGTGTGGACACCATACGGCGGTAAAAATGGCACTATAATCGCCAGCTCCGGCACACAGAGTACTTTGTTCATCAACAAAGCTCTTGGTGAAGGAGAGTGGACAGAGATTGCTTCACCCGAAGAACACGGCTACACGCGGTCTCTACGGGTGCTGTCTGAGGATGGAGGTCGATACCTGGTCGTACATTCTGCGGGAGTGCTATCTGGCACCAATAATCGGGTCTCCGCAAGTGTGATGGATTTGAAAGAGGTATTGTAAACTAAAAGACAATTTGTGGCGGCAGACCTTTTCATACTAGACGCGTCGTTCAATTTATGTTTATGATGATCGTTGTGATTGATGTGTGTCCTTGGTATTTGTCGAGAAGAGACCTTGATTTTGGTGGAAAGACTAGAGACCTTGTAAATATGATATACATGTCACTCTATGTCCTGTGAATAGTCATTATTAGGCCCACGCATGTACAATTTGGAAAGCTCAATCGATTCGAAAAAAAAGAGATGTGTCTCAGCCCAAACAACCTCGGGATGGCAAGTGTGAGTCAAAAGAACCCTGCCCCGTATTTTAGGCATCAGCGATCTCCCGCCCTTTCAATATTTCTCTCCCACCATCTCCACATTAAGCCTCATCTCCGCATCCATCTCTCTGGACACCTTCCAAACATGTTAGACTGCTCTGTAGAGGAGGATACTTTTGGCCCAATTGTCGCTCCTTCTTGTCTGCATGGATTTGACTTCACCCTCTTGTTTGAAGAGAGCATTCTCACCCTCGGACCGATCGGCGTTGTTTGTTTGGCAGCATCAATTCGCATTTGGAAGCTTTCACGCGTCCCAGAAAAGGTCAACCGGTCATGGCTGTATGCCACAAAGGAGGTATAGAGCCCTCCAAGCTCCAAGCTCTTGTATTTCCCCACATTCCTTGCGCTAACCAGCATCGCGCAGTTATCGTGGCTGTTTTACACGGGATGCCATATGGTCTTGCTAGCTCTCTGGTGTCAGCCTGCTATATTCAAAACAAAAGCAACTGTGATCACAACTTTTGCGACTGTGGTCACTTCCCTTTTTTTGACTTACTTGTCTCATCTTGAGCACCTCCGCTCCATACGCCCATCTACGGTGGTCAATATATTCCTCGTATTTACCTTGCTCTTCGACCTTGTACGCCTTCGAACTCTGTATTTCATGCCCACTACTCAAACCGTAACCATATTCTTTGCTATATCATGTGTCATCAAAGCGACTATTCTCGGTTTGGAGGCGACAGAAAAGAGATCTTTGCTCCAAAAGAGATACAAAAATAGCCCCATCGAATCGACCAGCGGTGTGCTGAATCGCGCTATCTTTTGGTGGCTAAACGAACTACTTTGGCGCGGTTCAAAAGATATTTTGACAGTTGACAGTCTTCCTGCCCTCGACAATGATATCAGAGCTGCTTCGAATCCTCGGTCTCTCCTTGAAAGATGGGAAAAAGGTGAGCTTTTTAGTTACGACGTCTTTCACCATGCCGTACATTAATCCAGATTCCTAGCCAACAAATATCATCAAAATTCTCTCTTGTGGACCTTCGTATCTCATTATAAATGGGCCTTTCTGGAGGGTGTTCTTCCCCGGCTTGCATATACGGGTTTTTGCTTTGCCCAGCCATTTCTCGTCGAGCGCGTACTCGATTTTATGACTGAACCAGAACACGTAAACTCCACCAACTATGCCTATGGACTTATCGGTGCCTACGCCATTGTCTATCTCGGTATTGCCGTATGTAGCCTATCATGGCTTCATGGAAATTCTACTGATTCTAGTCCATCCATAGATATCATATGCTGCTTACGAGCACAAGACCTACCGCGTTATTTCTATGATCCGAGGAAGTTTAGTCACCCTAATCTTCAACAAAACTCTGCGGATGAGCACTACGGCTATCTCAGATACTGCTGCCATCACGTTGATGAGTACCGACATCGAACGAATTGGAAGCGGTCTCAGAGAGATGCATGAGTTATACTCCAACTTTACCGAGGTTGCATTGGCCTTGTGGCTGTTAGCACGACTGCTGAATGTAGCGATAATCGCGTCTACCGCCGTTGTTGTTGGTACGGCCTTACATTTCTTCTTCTTTTGAAAGATATTTTGGTTAACTTGGTCATGACTCAGTATGTTTGGCTGCAGGTGTTCCGCTGGCAGTCGCTTGTGGGAAAGCACAAGGAATATGGCTCGAGGCTGTTGAGGAGCGGGTGGCCGTTACCTCAAAAGTCCTGGGAGTGATGAAAAACATCAAGATAACAGGCTTGACAGAAACCATCTCCAGCAGTCTTCGGGAATTGCGATCCGCAGAAATCGATGCTTCATTTCTGTTTCGGCTCTACGAAACATTGGGGATTACACTCGGTATGTTCAGTTCCAGCTGTGAGAGTTTTGCTAATTATATAGGATATGCCTCTTCATCCTTGGCCCCGGTGTTTGGATTTGGTGTTTATACTATTCTTGCACAAGCAAATGACACGGCTACTCTTACGAACGGTCTGGCCTTTTCTGCGCTGACACTCTTTTCGCTGTTGGATCAACCAATGGGCTCTATTGTGAATGGCTCGGAAGATCTGATGGCGGTGGTCAACTGCTTTCAGCGGATCCAAAAGCACTTGATGGAAGCGGAAAGAGTTGACCATCGACTAAAACATGATGCTAGAGGGTCCCAATCAGCGCAAAGTTCTAGCAGTGCCCCTCTTATTGAGACAGATCCCTTGGCCTGGGAACAATACATCGAACCCTGTGCTATCATTCGAAACGTCTCTGTGGCTTGGTCAATTGATACTGAGCCGGTGCTGAAAGACCTGAACATTGATATCCAAGAATCCAAGATTACAATGATCGTTGGGCCTGTTGGCAGTGGCAAGTCTACTTTTTTGAAGATGCTCATGGGCGAGATCCCAGAATTTTCTGGCTCAATCTCTACCAGCTTCATTCATGCCGCGTATTGTAGTCAATTGCCATGGATTACATTCGGAACAATCCAAGAAAATATCGTTGGTGGATCGCCATGGGATCGACCCTGGTACGACCAGGTTACCAAGTCGTGCGCTTTACAAGCCGATTTCCTACAACTTCCCGCAGGGGATCAAACAAAAGTCGGCGTTCGGGGTTCTCGACTCAGTGGTGGACAGCAAATCCGAGTGGTATGTAACTCTAACTTTGTGCATGGGAAAATTTGTAATAACAAGTGTTTTTCTAGGCGCTTGCGCGGGCTCTTTACTCGAAAGAGCCGGTTCTTGTTTTAGATGATGCTCTAACGGGTCTTGATCGTGAGACCGAGAAGATAATTCTCGAGAATTTGTTTGCTGAACATAGTTTCATCAAGCATTCTCGGCAAACAGTAATTATGGCAACAAACTCAGGTCTGTGTATGCCCTATCTCTGTGCAAGCCATTCGATAGACTGATTATCACAGCACATCATCTTCTCTATGCCGACAACGTCATTGCACTAGATGAGTATGGGAGAATCATCCAACACGGGTCGTATCGTGATCTCAACAGTTCCGGCGGCTATATTAGAATGCTTTCCGATGGTGTTTCTACAGTCAACACTTCTCGAGCCCCCGGTGTTGTATTGGACGACGAAACATTGCGGGAATTGAACTTGGATGACCAACATACCGATTTAAGTCGACGTACTGGCGACTGGACTGTCTATCACTTTTATTTCCAGAACATCGGCTGGCCTCTTCTGTCGGTCTTCCTTGCATGCTGTGTTCTCTTTATTCTCGGTCTCAGCTTTCCTCGTCAGTTTCAACAAACCTACCTAAACATCCGGTTCCACTCTTTGCTAATAGTCTATACAGAAATATGGCTGCAGTGGTGGACTCGTGCCAATGAACAGCACCCAAACAAACATGTTAATTATTGGTTAGGTGTATATGCTGCACTTGGGTTCTTCTCCCTTTTAACTACCTTTATTGGTACTTGGTACGATTCCAATTTGTTGTTTTTAATCAGGCTTTCTTCTATTACTCACTCTTTATAGGATTCTCATCATGATCATACAACCCCGAACTGCCCGTCGGTTCCACGAGATTCTGTTGCGTACTACAGTAGGGTAAGAATGACCAAATAACAATTGCTGGGTGTTTCTTGTTTTGATCGTTGATACAGAGCTACAACCTCTTTCCTTACTTCTACAGATATTGGAAACACCACAAATAGGTCAACATTCTATTCTTTCTTGAAGTTTGCTCATTTTATTGACCCGGTTTGTTGCCTATAGATTTAGCCAAGACCTGGAACTCATTGACGACGAGCTTCCTTCAGCCTTGGAGTTAACAATCAATGCTGCACTAAGCTGTGTTGTGGAAGGATTCCTAGTCTTTGTTGGTTCCTCTTATGTCACAGCAGCAGTGATCCCAGTCTGCGCCCTGGTGATATACTACGTGGCAAAGTTCTACGTCCAAACCTCTCGTCAAATGCGTCTGCTAGACATTGAAGCAAAAGCACCTTTATTCTCGCAATTCCTAGAAGTCCTGGGTGGCCTCTCCAGCATTCGGGCTTATGGCTGGACGGAGGATTACCACCGCCGTAATCAATACGCCCTCGACGCTTCCCAACGCCCTTCCTATTTACTTTATTGCATTCAGCGCTGGATTGGTCTTGTGTTAGACTTGATAGTGGCATGTATTGCTGTCATTGTTATTGCTGTCGCAATCTCGATGAAGGGTAGCCCTTCCATGAATTTATTGGGCATCGCGTTATTCAATATTGTCAACTTCAGCGGCACCCTTCAGACGCTTGTTACATACTGGATTGGGTTGGAAACCTCTATTGGGGCCGTTTCTAGAATTCGTTCATATGCGCAACAAGCCACTACCGAGAATTTAGATTCTGAAACCGAGGCCGTTCATGAGGACTGGCCTCAGCGGGGTGAAGTTGATATAGCCGGCCTTTCAGCATCTTACGAGTATGCTATTGGTTATTTCTTGGGTTTCTTCGCATACATGCTGACCAGTCTTTTAGTGCCTCTTCGGGGCCTGTTCTTGTTGGAATTGATCTCAGAATTTACCCCGGTGAAAAGGTTGCTCTGTGTGGTAGGACTGGCAGGTTTGTGTTGTCCCATATCAGGAGGAGTTTGTTGCGTCAACACTCACTGATCTATACTTTAGTGGGAAATCTTCCCTTGTTTCGGCAATTCTGCGAATACTAGAGCTAGATAGCGGCACAATTCTCATTGATGGCATAGACATTTCAAAGGTCTCCAGAGCACACGTTCGGTCCAGAATCAACACCATTCCGCAACAGCCCTTTTTCCTCCATGGCACAGTGCGGCTCAACGCCAACCCCGAGGAGAATGCAACTGATGAAACAATCATTACATCCCTACAAGCAGTCAATCTATGGTCTTACATACAGCTCAAGGGAGGACTGGATGTCGACATGTCTGATGATTTACTGTCTCATGGGCAGCAACAGCTCTTTTGCCTCGCAAGAGCACTTTGCAAATCCAGCAATATTATCATTATGGACGAGGCCACTAGCAGGTATGTGAAAACGCAACGATTATATATCATTTTATTAAGAGATCTTGCAGTGTGGACTCAGAAACAGATGCGCTCATGCAAACGGTCATTCGGACGCACTTCAAAAATCAAACTGTCATTGCTATTGTGCACAAATTACATACAATTCTAGACTTTGACAAAGTTGCTCTCATGGAAAATGGCAAAATTGTGGAGTTCGATACACCCAAAGCGCTTTTGTCAAAAGAGGGATCAGCGTTTCGGACTTTGTTGGAGGGTTCCCACTACAGTTCCAAAACATAGACTGGGATGGTCTTTTGCATGTAATGTTCTTAGCTATCATGTCTTTTTGATACTTTTAAATTCTTTTTGGGTTCTTCTTTGGATGTCTTTTCAGATACTCCTTCTCAATGTCTTTTTTGTTAGTTATCTCCCCCCGTTATTTATGTTAGCCATAAAATATAGAATATAGGCGGCGAAAAACCAGGCCACGCCTGTGTTCTTCATAATATAATCGGACCGGTGAGTCAATCTACTCTACTTTGTCGGATGATCTGTTATAAATCATATGGGGGAACCTTGTCTCATTAAGCTATCTCTCTAAGAACAGGGGATCACCTATTGACTTAGCCAGTCAAAGGGTCCCCATGGCTAGGTCAAAGCCTAGATAGTGTGTGCATGACTCACATTTTCTCGTTTTGGCTTCGGCTTCGGCTTTGACTTCGGCTGCTTCAATAAAGTTGAGAACTCCATCTCAGGTCCATGGTTCCACCTTTGGCGGCCGGTTTGTGGATCGAATCCCGCAGCATGGGCAAGAATCTTTTCCAGCATCGAGACAATCTCTTGCGCACTGTGTACCCAGTGGTAGGCCTTCTTGGTCCACTAGAAAATGTATCAGTAATATTCGAGCAAGTTTCACTAAGATCTCTCACCTCGCCATTTGGACGAATCCGGATGAACACCCACTCGAAACTGTCTGTTGCAATTCCACACACTGATGTGTCCGGAATTTTAGCCCGCTTCCTCGTCTCATGGATCATCGCTATTGGTATTAGCACTAATTCACGTATAATGTAAATCGAAATCACTTACCCATGTATGCAAGACACCGCAACATACCGCCTTTAAGCAAGTCCGGTCTTTCCGCTTCAATCATTGCCATATTGGTCGCATGTTCATCAGGCATGCCATACCAAAGCGAGTAGTTGATGATGCCGGAAAGTCTTACCCGTTGATTATCGCTTTTCCAAATGAATTCTATCTTGCGTCCGAATTGCAGGTGAACAGACTGGGGTGATGCGGAGGAGGCAACGGATATATGGGGCTTTGCAACAAGCTCCCGCTTCATCTTAGCCAGAGTTGTCAGGATAATCACATCAATGCGAGACCGTATCAAGGCCTCATTTGTGGGTGAGCCCCCGGTTGCCACGTCATATTCTACGAGTATAGAGTCTATACGAGTTAGTGAAAACACATATTCATATCGATAATCGAACGTACTCAAATGAGGAGGGAGGAAGACCTTTTCAGTCTTACTAGGAGAAAGTTCAAACTCGGTGGGTAGACATTGGGTGAGGTTAAAGTGATGTGGAATTTCACTCGGGTCGAGGTCGGTAATGGGGATTGTAGGCATGTTTTTGAATTTCTTGCGCTTGGCACGCACTCGGTTTTCGAGAGCTTTGTGCTCTAACTGAGACTCGATTTTCTCCATGACCATGACTAGAAAGAAAGGGGAGTGCAACGGCTGTGGAGTGAAAGAAATAATCTGAGGAAAAGAGGCAAGTGCGACACTTTAACAGCTTACTTTATTAATAGTATCCATGGATATATTCTAAATAGGAATAATATCTTTTTAATATCTTTTTCACTTTCTACCTAGGTAGATATCTCTCTAGGCATCTAGAGATAAACATTTCCGTGTATACATCCATCCATGGATGTAACCACGGTTGACTTCAATGTTCCGACCTCGTTCCAAGGTTGCCAAAGCCGTTTCCAGAAAAGGGAAAAGCACATAACGTGGAGATCATGTGAGCACCTTTTCCTCAATTACTCAACTTGATTTGGCTTTTTTTTTTCTTCAACTCCTCTACTCGATTCATTTACAATGATTGAAGAAGACTGTGCAATAATCAAGGCAGCCGAGGGATACCAATGTGTAGTGGAGGCCTTTGGTCTTTTGCCTACTAGGTGGTGGAATAAGAGGCAACTCAACGCAAGAAACACTTGGAACATTCCAGGGCACCTCGGTGAGTTTCAGCTAATCTGTTTGGTATATTTTTTGCTAACGACTTATGAGCATGCCTGTGGGACGATCTTGAGCTAGTCTCCGTTCAGGGGGGTATTACACATCCGCTGTTGCCAGTGAGAATAGAATCACTTCTCCTCTCGCTACTTGCAGACAACATCAAAAAAGAGTTACTTGATCCCCATGGGCCCCTGGATTCGCCCCACTGGAGCTTTCGGAAGCAGATACTCACGCTAGACATGGAAGACGACAAGATTCTAGCTCCAGAGAATATCATTGACTACGTTTTGTGGTATGGCCACTACAGGGAGCTGGAAACAAACATGATCGTTATGAAGTCTAAAAATCCGGTGCCTCGGAGTTGGATTCTGCTTCAAAACATGTCTAGCATTCACTATGCTCGTAAGCTCGCAGAAAGGGACGCAGGTATCTACGGCGTTATAACTGACGGGTCAAAATGGGTATTCATACATCTGTCCAATAGAAGTCGGGTAAGTAATCTTGGAAGCGGAAGCCTGAGCAATCTTTTGACTAACACCTTTTTTTTAAAAAGTATACAGTCAGGGTATTCTCCTGGGACAGCGAGCGACACTGGATTATTAGCCAGGTCCAGGACATAATCGAGCAGGCAGTTGCTCTTCACGGAAAGATACTGTCACGGTCATCTCTGCCTACGCCTACCGTTTATCAAATTAGTGACTGTCAAATTAGAGAGCTGCCTACTCCATGTGATGGCTCTGATGATGAGAACGACCGTGTAACTGGACGGAATGGTTATCATACAGCTACGGTGCAAACAAATGCCTATAGTACGGATGGAGGATCTTCGGCCTGGTAAATTGCTGGAAACTCTTGTTTTGTGAATATGTAGAGCGGACACGTTTGACAATGAGAATGTTTGAAGTCTCTCGTAATCCCTTGATCTCTCTATAGTAAAGAACGCTTACGGTTGCTTCCTTTCCTCCCTTCTTTCATAGTTTCAGACTTTCTAATACAATGGCATTGCTTTATGCTTTATTATCCCATCTACTATTCTAAAGAATGCGAGGAATGATGTATGCAATGCTAATGAGATCTCTCCGATTCGGTATCCCGGCTATATATTCGACTCCAACCTCGCCAGATGTATGTCCAATGGCAGCATCAAAATATATTCCCGCTACTCGTAGGAGATCCCCAAGTGCAATTTGGATAGCTGTACAGAGTGAATCTGAGCAATTATGCCTGAGGCATCAACTCTCTACTACACAAACATCACTGTCCAATCACATGATGCTTACTCCCACTCCGAGACACCAAGGTTAACTGTGCTCCTCAGTTCTGTCGTCCTCGCTCAACATTTGATACCCGTCTGGATGTCTATTGCAACACTTCCAACAGAGCTCGTATGTGATATCTGCAGATATCTGGAGCTGCACGACTGGATTGCGTTTCGAACTACCTGCCAAGCAGTATACACGAAGTCGCTGGATGCTTTCGCAGACCGGTATTGCAAAAGTATCGGCTTGATCCTCACCAGCCACAGTCTCCGTCGATTGGAAGAGCTCGCCACGAACGATAGCCTCCGAACACGAGTCCAAGAGCTATGGGTTGTACCGTCCTTGTTCGGGGGCTTTTATGAAATGGATGTTGATTCCTTCAGGTCCTGCACCGCTTCACATAAAGACAGACCACCCAAGACTGCCACCCAGATCAATGCTCAGCACATTGCATACCAGATTTTAGTGGTGGATCATCTCAGTATCATCGAATCCGATACTCTCAATAACGTCCTCAAAGAATGCATGGCACGCTTTGAAAATCTCACTGCCATTAGAATGCAACTCAAGGACTCGGACTTTTTCTGGAGTTCAAATCCGATTATAAAAGATGATGTCCAGTTTCTCGGCTGGCGTGGGGTAAAACGCCAGCTTGGGTTTGATCCATTCGGATTGAACGCCAGGAAACCCATACACAACCTCTGGAAGAGCAGGGCGAAGGATCATGCTATAGCTTTTACGGCTCTCCTAGAGGCATCAGTTGCGTCTAATAGGAAACTCAAGAAGTTAGACATATGCAACGATGACCACTGTGCTCTGCCACCTTCGGATGTTACGCTCAAACTTACACACAAATCCCTACTTTCCTGCCTGGGAGGGTTAGAATATCTGCACCTCTGTATCTGCGTCTGGGAAGCACAGTCAGATGATTCTGCGCTCAGATATCTCATTGATATTCCTATAACAGTTGCACCAAGTCTCAAGGTCCTAACATTCTCACAATGGGATCGGAATGGTGCAATGAGCCCTCGCTATTTCATCGACCTCTCCCAGCGTATCAACTTTACCCAGCTAGTGAAACTTAATCTCTATTGGATTGAAATTACGTATGATACTTTCAAGGTATTTCTGCGCACCGCAATGCCTACTTTGAGGATTCTTGCTCTACAGTCCTTGAATTTGAGGGGTGCGGCCCCAATGGACACCGACAGTGGTCATAATTTGTTGAAATGGGATTCTCCAGAGATAAATGAGGAGAGCAGTGCTGCTTGGCGACAGGTTTGGGATTTTCTCGGAGACGGATTCTCGCTACGGTCTCTTTCCTTGCAACACCTCGGTTATCGAGGCCATCGTCTACATTTGCGCGATGATCTGAGCAGTCTGAGTGGATCATCCGAGCCGAATGGACCGATAATCGTTGCCTTCGATGCTGAGCGAGCTGGTGTTTCTTTTAAGGAATGGGTCACTCAGCTACAGACAGGGCCACCACGGGGACCACGGATACGTTATGATAGTTTGCCAGGGAAAGATTATACTGCTCACATGGTTTAACCTCTATGTAGGTGTATGGAATTCTCACTAGTAGCTTTGGAATTGCTTTATTCAAGCATAGATCTAATCAAAATCTAAAATGTAAGCACAACCTTCCCTCGACCATCAAACCTCCCATTAGCATAATCATAAGCCTCCTTCACCCGGTCAATTCCAAACCCAGCAGCAACAAACGACCGCAATTCCCCCCTCGCCGCCAACTCACTCAGAGCACGCAAAACCTCCCCACTCCCCTCAACAATAAAAAACAGCGCCTTAACCCCATCCCTCCTTAACCCACGCTTCGCATGAGCCTCGACAAAATCAAAGCTCGCTGAATCAACAGATATCAAAGAACCACCCTCCTTCACAAACCCCCAACACCTCTCCAGTACCTCCCCACCAACCGAATCAACAACAACATCAAACCGACCCTCCTGACCATCCTCCAAATCCGCATACTCAACAACCTCATCAGCCCCCAACTCCATCAAAAACGCCCCATTCCTCGCAACAGACCCACTAGCCGCAACAACATGCATGCCAGCACGCGCAGCAAGCTGCACGAGGAAAATCCCAACCCCACCAGCAGCACCAGTAACAAGCACACGCTTTCCCAACTGACGAGCATGCTGGTGATCCTTCTCCTGGTGACGCTGTGGCTCCGACTGCGCACTCCCTCCCGAAAGCCGAAGCGGAAGCGGAAGACCCGCATGCACAAAGAGCGCCTCGTACGCCGTCTGCGCGCTAAGCGGTAATGCCGCTGCCTCTTCCCACCCGAGACCGGCTGGTTTGAGTGCGACTTCATCGGTCGTGACGAGCGCGTACGATGCCCATGTTGAGCCGTGGTCTGCGGATGTCATGCCGAAGACTGCGGTGCCGGGTTGGAGGGTTGTTGTTGAACCTGGGGAGACTGATGCTACTGTGCCTGAGAAGTCATGGCCCGGGATTGTGTAGGTTTGGTAGTATGTCTCGGGCCATGTGAGCATGTCCCGGATTACGGTTGTTGCTTTGATGTGGATTAGGAGCTGGTTTGGGGCTGTCGGAGTTGGGATGGGGATTTTGTCATTGTGGAGGGCTGTTGTTGGGGCGGGGTTGGTTGGGGAATAACGTGTTTCGGAGGGTGGTGCTGGGTGGACGCGGATGGCTTGCATTTTATGGATTTATCGATGTATTAATTTATGTTAGAGATAGGTTTGAGGGATAGATTGAATGGATGTCAGGCTTTTATGTCCAAGTCAAAGTAGGGTTCTGGAGATAGGCTATTGTCTGGGATAGGCTATTATCTGGCGGGAACAGCCGATAGATAGATCACGACATTTATGAGTACGGGTTTATGCTTCTGTAGACTGATTGAATAAAAAATACTAATGGGTTTCATTAACTATCGAAGTAGTCATAGGAGGCATGTTTTGAGAATAAGAAAAAAAAAAAAACTATATGCAAAAAATGCAATGCTGGCTGTACAACCTCATGACTCATGTGGACATGTGTACCCTCCTGTTTCCATTCCAGAAAAAAGAAGAACATTTACTAAACCGAGGGCAAGTCGGCCGAGAGAGGCAACTTACGGGATGAGTTGCCGACATAAACCTTCTTCTGGGCACCAGAGATCACCCAGTTCTGGGAGGCAACGTCCCAGTTGGAGATATCACGGCGGGTCAGAGTGGTGGTCCACTGTAGTGCCTGGCCAGGGGCAATGGTGACTCGGTCAAACTGGCGCAGGACCTTCGAGGGTTCATCATCGCCACCGAGAGAGACGTACAACTGGGGAACCTCGTCACCCGTCACGGAGCCGGTGTTGGTGATAGTAGCGGTCACCTGGTAGAGGTCTTCAAACAGAGCGGGGTTGCCGCCAGAGTTTCCGCTAGAGGGGAGAAGATCCTGGGGAGAACCATCGGTAGCACCCTCAGGGATGTAATCCTTAGAGTCCATGCCGTAGTCGGGATCACCGGACGAGGCACGCAGGTCGGTGGAGTTCAACCACGGGTAAAGGTACTGACGGACGCGTTTAATTCCCTCGGGGAACAGGTTATCCGAGGCTTTGCCAGCTTTACCGAGAATGGGAGCCTTTTGGGTCTTTCCAGTGGTCGCCTTGTATTCGTGGTGTTGAGACAAGGCAAGAGGGGTGATCTTGAGGTCGGAGAAGGCAAATTTGGTGTAGCTCAGACCGTAACCGAACTCGTAAATGGGCTCGATGTTGTCCTTATCAAAACGGCGATAGTCAATGAAGACACCTTCGTCGAAGTTATCCTGGGGAGCATCCACACCGTTGTTCGGCACTGTGAGAATAGAAGGGCCGTAGTCCTTGCGAGTCTTACCCCAGGTGAATGGAGTCTTGCCGCCGGGGTTGATGCGACCATATAGTACATCCACCAAGCTGCGGCCGCTCTCTTGGCCGGGCAAGCCAGCCCAGACAATGGCGGTAATGTTGTCATTGTCATACCAGTCGCTAATCAGAACAGCAGATGTACTGTGGATTACAACGATAGTGTTGTTGCAGTGTTGACTAGCAGTCTTGATCACCTCTTCGCCGTTCTTCCAGAGAGTCAGGTTCTTGCGGTCACCCTCGTTGCCGTCGACGTTGATGTATCCCTCGCCAGAGTCGGCGTTCACGAAAACCAGAGCAACATCAGCCTGGGATGCAAGGGCAGCCATTTCCGTGAGGGCCCAGTTATCAGTAACAGCAAAGACGTTGGTCTGCCCATTGCTGTATTCCAGGACTTCATTTTGGATGGCTTGCTCGGGTGTAATCAGGTAAGGGAAGTTCGCAGTTCCACTACCCCAGCCCATGGCCAGAGTTCCATTGTCACAGCCACGGTCGTTGCAGCCATTGGCCCCATAAGCATTAGACCCTGCGTCCTCTCCCAGAATGCCAATGTACCTCTCACTGTGGGTGAGGGGCAGTGCACCACCCTTGTTCTTGAGGAGAACAGTGCTATCAGAGCCAATCTTGCGAATTATCTGGGCGTGATCACGCTGGACATTCACACGCTCGTTGACCTTGCCCCAGCCCTCGCTGACCATGGCGTGCGTGAAGCTGTACTCATCACGGGTCCAGGAGCTAAAGTTGGGAGGAGTCCGGAAGCGGTCACGCCCAACCTTGTAGTAAGCAGACATGATTCGGACAGCCATGTCATCAATGCGCCATTCGGGGACGGTACCGTTCAGAACGGAGATGGTCAGGTTAGGCCCCCAGTAGGAGTAAGGGCTGCCAAGAAGGACGTCACCGGGCATAGACATATCTAGGCCGGCCAGAGCAGATCCGACACCGCTGTGGTGTGCACCCCAGTCGCTCATAACAAAGCCCTGGAAACCCAGCTCCCCCTTGAGCAGCTTATTCAGGGAGTAGCTGTTTGCACAACCGTAGCTGTTGTTGACTTGATTGTAAGAGCACATGACAGAACCAACACCAGCACGGATGGAGTCCACGAAGGGCCAAAGGTACAATTCGTGCATGGTCTTGTCGTCAATGTTTGAGCTCACACTCTGGGAGATGTTGTACCCATATCCCTGAGCCTCGCCGGACTGACGGAAGTGCTCCTGTTCATTTCCAATGAAATGCTTAGCACAGGCAATGACACCGGCATCCTGCATACCCTTGATGGTCTGGGCCATCATCACACCAGTCAAAACGGGGTCAGGGGAGAAACCTTCCCAGTTACGACCGCCATCGGGGTACTTTCCCAGAGGGCCAGCAACAGGACCCAATTGCACATCCACACCTTTGTCCCGGTGCTCTTCGCCCATTGCCACACCACGCTGGTAGGCAAGTCGCTTATCCCATGCTGCAGCAACATTGACACCAGAGGGGAAACCAGAATTGTAATCACCTGTTCGAGTTCCATTAGTTTAATGTGCCAAGTTTATTCGGGACGGACAACCTTACTAAAGCGCACACCCAATGGCGAGTCCTGCATGCACATTCCCCACATGCCAAGTCGGGGAATGCCGCCTGTCTCACCAACACATCGGTCTTGCTCCCAGCCAGTACCAGTTGTCAAGTTGACTTTCTCAGCCAGTGTCAAATTAGAGACAAATTCAACGGCGCGTGTGTATGCTTCGGACCACTCGCCCGCGCCAGTCATCCATGGGGAGGGATAGTGTGGAGGAGAATAGGCTAGCGACTGTTTTGACGCGACTTTATTAGCAGTGATATTAGAAAACGCCTCAAATTGGACTCACATTTGCATTAGCCACCGAAGCCGTCAAGGCGGCTGCCTCAAGCCACGCGACCTTCATTGCTTGCTAGAGAGGATTTCACAGAGACAGCACAAGAAGAGCTGTTAGAAGATGAGGGTATGAGAGGAAGGAACGAGCCACAGATCTTCGAGGGGAAGACTGGGATTTTAAATGTTCGGATATTTCCTGATTGCTCACCAGGGGGGGTGTAATATTCCAAAGTTGTGCATAGCGTATAATATTGGCTCCATAATATGAGATCAATAATAAAACAAAATGAAGCAAATGATCGACAAAGTATGCGCTATCCCACAAATCCCATTATATCATGTCCTATGATTGGTCATGGCTTATTATTACTAGAGCTGGGGGTTCACTAAAGCTAGTGACACAACTCATCCTTGAAAGGGGATACAAGGCACAGTTGTGGCTGGTAGAGGGGACAAGGAGAAGTACTCCGTACACCTGGACACCTGGACACCTGGACACCTGGACAGGGTGAGAAGTCAAACCCCCTTTCCCAAAAAAGTTTGTTACATGGGGATTAATTACCCAGTCACTCTGGCACCATAAAACGTATACTCCAGGGCTATTAATTCCCCTTGAATCCATCGTCTTGCTTTTGATTCTGCATACGAGAACGGTTAAACTTCGGTACCTCATGCCCTGACTACTATACCAGTGCGCACGTCCCTTTTCCCCGCTAATTCCCATTCTCCGTGGGGTGTTGACCAGACGATCTTTGATGCTTGTACCCGAAGTTTAGCTTGTTGCATGTGTTGTAGTGGGATATAGAGTATGAACACACACATATTGGTATATCGAATATCTCAACCAAACCATTCTGTGGCAAATTCCCTCACCTGATCAAATGAACATACAGAGGTGACTTCCAAGATTCTAATGTGGTCTGACCACTTTCTCGTGTCCAACAGATCACCGATCACCGATCACCGCTCATCATGCCGAATGGGGAAACCCTGTTCATTACTCCGTACTCCGTACTCCGTACATAACTCCGAGAGTGTGGGGAAGCAGACCTGGACCATCCGAGGCTGTTTCTACCAATCCTAACGACAAGTGTTACATGCCGTTTCGATTACTTTGTAGTTTCAAAACTACAGTGCATTGCTCTAACAACTATGGAGCAGTTTGTCCGTTTCCCACGCCAATATTTTTGTTTACCTTAGAACCATGCGCCATCCGCAGCTAAGCATTTTCGCTACCGTGGAGACCCGGAGTGCATTTTTCGACGGCTTGCATGATTAATGAGTTATTTATCTCGGACCATTTCTTGGCCAAACATCGTGGCACATCATGGCTCGGATGGTGAGGCTTATTGATGGAGTGCCAAGGCAAGAAACAATATCGGGCTAATCCGAATCTTGGCTAAGTCGGTGCATTCTCGGTCGGGCTAGTATTCCTTCCGGGCACACTATGTTGTACTTACATTTTAGTGTCTAATAATGGTTGCCTGATAGACCTTTTAACGCTCGTGTGGACTACCTACTCAGTCCCTTAGCTCAGGCCAAACTGCCAGTCTAACTAAGCACACTCTCACATACCCTCAACCATTTTTACTTTATGCATGTCTCAAACCCCGCCGGCTAAATATTGATCTACATTGTATTTACTTGAAACTCACCAGCCGGAAGAGAAAGCCGGACTATTCCAGAACTCTACCACGCGCAATATGAAAAAACACTATATGAAGAACAAGCTAATTTCTGACGGAATGCCCCGCCAAGTAGTCATATTTTCCCTTTTTTATGGCTAATCATCGGTTTCAAGGCTTCCGCCAGGTGGCGATTTGGCAGTCTGAGGGCTCGTACAGATGCCGTTCAGTCTCTGGGATAGTAGCGATATAGACTCGTCCTTTTTTGATGGTTCTCATTATTTATGCAGCTATTTGTCTAGGATGCTAAATCAGAAAATATGAGACACATTAACATCATTAGCATGGCTAATGCTATAACTGTAGGTTATGCTCTAGCTTGCAAAACGTCGGCCTTGTTCCCAGTCTCGTATTTAGACCTGCAGAGTCGGGTATTGTTACCATTTCACCGTCTCGGAGTGGGGTCTGGCCAGAAAACTATCCTGTACCGGCTTATTAGTATAGAATACTCCCGCAGCTTGGGTAGTATTTTCAGGCATAAAATCGTCCCGTTCGGGGTCTGAGGCCGAGCCGTGCTGCGGAACAAAGCAGTTGTACTGCGGGATCCGGGCCGAACTTGTTGTACTCAAGGCTCACTACTACAGATGAGATGAGAGAGTTGAAATCGATTCTTGGTGAAAACTGTAGTCGCCATCCCCATCCTCTTATTCAAATTCAGAGACGCCTAGAACTAGCAGGTCCACTCAATTGCTAGTATCCCAAATGACTGTGGAAGCCAAACCACCAAAATCAAACATCACTGCTGATGTCGTCTAGCACTTGGAACAGAATATGATTTTGAACTCTGCAGCCTGTGCCATTTGCACCTGCTCGGAACCCAGACCAAATTCTTCGTCGAATCTCATCAACATCAATTCCTTTGGTGTTGTATTGATTGATCATTTCTTCTGCAATCGCACACAGCGTCGAATTGAGCACATCTTCATCGGAAACAGTTTCCGGATTCTGTCTATCGGACCGGCATCCACACAAAGCCGGATCTTCTTCTTGTGGGGTTTCCTTTGGTAGCTGGTCTGTTGGTTGTACAACTGTCGAGTCACATGTACTATTAACTGCCGTTGCCGTTGGCAATTCGGTTGTTTCCGTTTCCGCTTTGTAGACGCGAGATGCTGTCATTGACAAATTCGTTCTGCGAATATCCCGACGTGATAGAGACAGAGAATTATCTCCCTCTACTCGCTGAATAGCAGGGATAGCAACCTTCCGGTTGGTGTTCGCTCCCGTATCCGCTTCCTGTAGATACTGCTGGACAGAAGCACTCGAAAATCCAAGTGTCCCTAAAAGAGCTTTCAAATGCCGATTTTCGGCTTCAAACTTTTGCGTTGCCAGTCGGTGCTCGATGTCTTTTTGTTGGGCTTGTTCTTTGCACACTGCTAGACGCTGCTCTAACTCATTCACATACTCCTGCTTCCGGGCTCGACTCTTGCGCTGGTTTTCACGCACCCGTGCGAGTCGCTCCACATTCTTCAATGCTAGTTAGGTTTCATGTATTGGCCGCAACTACTTAAACGGATGTGACTTACCTTCTGGTCTTTCGCTGAATCCATTGCTTGCTGACCTAGGGGTGTGGAGCATGATTTAGTTCCCTATCAGCCAAACTTATCATATAAAGCACTCATTGATATGAGTGGTGGTATGATAGGTGTGGTGGTGGAAAGTTTGACCTTGCCTCCTTTGAATTTCGAAGGAGAAATGATGCTTCGATTTGTTGCCTGATTTTTGCGGGTTCTATTTCACGGTCACGTGGACTTTGCTTAAGAGGCGAATTAGGTAGCATTAGTCGGTTTCATAAAGCAATTACTTTATTTGAATACATATGAAATCTATCTTCCTACAATTGTATGGTATTGAAAATGTTGCTTTGTTCAGTGTGTACCTATGTTGTAGATAGTACGGTTGAATGTACTAACTGATGCCTTCTCAGCCCACATAATTTATAGTTGTCTTACTTTATCCAGGGATATACGGATACAATTTACCTATGCGATCGTCGACTATTTACGACCCTTGATCGTAAAGGAAAGGATATCCTCTTTTGATCGGAAGCGCCAAGCTACCAATCCTACAATGACTCGAGCGTGAAATGCCGAATTATTTCGTATGTTACTGCTACTTTCTTCTTCATAAATACGACGAATCAGAAAACCTAGGGCTTATATGCCTACGGGCAAACTGTAATAGCCATCTTCCATCTACTCGACGTACTGATCATCTTGAACTAGATACTCATGACGTGACCGGCCATGTTTACTATCTATTTTATTTCCTCGATTTTCAACTTCCGATAAAACGATTCTCTTACGGTCTTCAGTGCGAGATCACAGTTGAATAACTCGCCATATCGAAATTACAAAATGATAGGTCGACCACTTTGTTCTCTATCGAAGCACATACCTGTCCCAAGCCACCTACACCAGGTCTATACTTACGAATCCGGGACATCATCCATGGATATTTGATAAACAAGGGGAAGGAATTTTGTTCGCGCCATCTTTAGAGACTAACAAGCCCCCATAATTCTTCAAAATCTGCTTCCACATGAATCATTCAAAGACATTGAAACTGATGAGGTCTATTGTTACAGCATACACCACAAACAAACCAATTATGCCATTGAGAAGCAACTGCGACAAATGCAAGACAGATTTCGGACACGCTATCCAAGAACATTGGAATAATGTAGCCCTTGCTATCGCTAGGTGGATCAAGCTGGGCCTGGGTCAACCCCAGATGACCTCCGATGGAAGGCTCATACATACAATGGGCTATCCGAGGCGCCTGATACTTGGACCTTGGTATAACTGCAATCCCTAGGTCTCCTTTGCCACCGCTTCTAGCAGTAGTTCACTAGAAGACCTCCCTTCACGCAATATTTCCTACCCGAGATACAAAAACCGATGGTGCGATTTTCTTGTTTCAACTATCTTACCTGGGCCTTCCCTAGCCGAGCGAGAGGCATGTGGAATACCAACCAGTGCTACGTGAATTCAGTATACAATTCAAAGAGTGACAGGACTTCGATTTTATGATTTCTTATTATGAAATTGCAAATTTCTGGATACACCCATGGACCTGGCCAGGATGCATACAGCTACCCATTACTTGCTGCCAAACTCATTCCAGATATCGGACAGATTTTCTAGGGTATCTCAAAAACAAACACTAATATTTAAGAGGTAATTATTCATACCTAAGTATTACTACTAGTGGGTACTAGACTTTTAATCACATCTACCTTGTATCAGGAACACCCTTCGGATTATAGAACAGTAACGGTAGAAAGTATATGTAGGTACGGTTAGGTAGAGATTTCACTATGTCACCTACGATCATTATAGCCCATTACGAGGGGATTCACAGAATTTAAAAGATGCAGTCGGTTTTCTAAGTCGGCTCCATGCGAAAACGAGAAAGCGAGAGCGAGAGGCAAATAGAATAGTGGATGCAGATGGCAAACGGATACCCTCGACGTCATTGGCCGTCAGTCGCGCCTGAGCTAAATATACTATGTGACCCCCGGCATTCTTTCTCTACACCTCACTCGTAGTTTCTACCTGGAATTTTCCCCTCTCACAATAAATATCATTAGAATTGCATCCGAATCTCTCCTACTCACATTACTGTATCGCAAACCCTTCTATCATGGTCTCTACGCGACACCATCCCCGCGAATTTACTTCCCCTGAGGCCGGGAAAGAGCTGACCAAGTTACCTCCAACCAGCGCCAATTCGCGAAAATGGACACATACGCCCACCGCGGCGCTGACAATCTGGCTCATCGTTTCAGTTCCCTTGGTCATATGGGACACAGGCTATGTCTTGTTGCGACCGTATAGCATGCCCGGTGGAAGTCTGCACTCACCTATCTGGACGCCGTACGCACTGTACGGAAAGGTCGACTATATTTACGGCTGGCCCGCCTTCAATGCGCATAATGGGTTCACAGCTGCGCAGACTACCCTCAACATCTTCGAGACTATCGGTTATATCTACTACCTCTGGATTGTTTATCGCTATGGATCGACAGTTGGGAGAGGTGGATCGCAGAAGATCTCCAAAGGATTCACCTGGTTGCTGAAGGGGGACAAGGTGGTGGCTGGGCGCATTGGTGCGACCGCGCTTCTAGTCGCCTACACCGCGTCTGTCATGACCCTGAGCAAGACTATCCTTTACTGTAAGCTACATTTATTGCCTAGGCTTTCTGTGTTAAATTATAACACAAAGAATAGGGCTCAACGAGAGCTTCTCCGGCTTCGAGAATATCGGTCACAACGAACCGCTCACTCTCTTCCTCTACTGGATCCTCCCTAAGTGAGTTCCATCTAGTGCAGGTTTACACAAAACATGGAACTAATTCTATTTAGTGGGATGTGGCTCGTGTTTCCCAGCTACAATATCTATATTCTCGGGGGCGAGATTTTGAACTCGCTTGAACTCGCAACACCGCGCCAGAAGGTCGGACGCCCAAAATCCACGTAGGATCAGTCGCGCAAATCATTGAATAGCTTGCATACGGAAATGCGACATGTGCAATGACGATAGTTTGCTCGAGAAAAAACCCGGTCAGTTCGGCCTATCCATGGGTAGGTAGTATCTAGAGATGGCTGGTACGAGAGGGAAAAAAGGGGGTCTGCTTCTGTAATGAACTCGGCATGATCAATGAATATCTTGATATATTGGCCACGCAGTAAGGATATCCCTGGCACGTAGCTGCATGCTCGTCCTAGTATTCTGTCAAGCTTCCGATGTGCCAGCCCAGATGCCAATTCCGGCTGCCCTACTGTCCCAGGCGTTTGGGTCTGTTCTGAGAGAGCCAGACACACTATATATTCGTGAGGGTAGTATGAGTCACTTTTGATATTCATAGCTCGAAGGAAGTTAGGTTGCAAATATAATCCCAGTCCTAGAACTATACGGGAATAGTATAAGAGTTCAAGGGGGATATAGCATTGGGGCGCAGCCTTCAGATCCGACATGTAACCTCAAGTCGATTGCGTGCCTCAGTAGATATTTTCCTTTGCTCCAGAAATTTTCTCTGAGTTATAGTATACGTTAGCTCTTCATATTCCAATCGAGATTGTGGTTGAGGGTCCGTAATATCGGGGCCGCCAGTGGCCGAACTATTTGCCAAGCCACCATTCGCCGCTGAACCTTTCCCCATATTCGGGGCCTTGAAATTCACTTTCTCCTCAATCCCGCTTTTCTCCCGCTTTTTCGGTCTCCAAATTCCACCCCAAATCTACTTACCCCGGAACGAACTCACCCTCCATCTCGGAAGCGCCTTATTTTGTCCCCGACCGTGCCGAAGGATGCTTCGGACCTGGGTCCTGGGGTATCCGCACCCGTCATGATCCAACCCGATTCCGACGAATCGCCATCGAAAACCCCTGGTGTCAGCTTTGACCTAGGCCAGGAGGAGGCGGCAGCAGCTCTCGAAGACTTCGACACCCAAAGCCATGCAAGTTCCCGTGACCCTGGTAGCACACAAACAGTCGACCCCGCGGTAGGCCCAGACAACGGCACGCTAGACCAACGAGACGACTCCGGCAACGGCCCGTCCAATTTTGAACATTTAAACGACGACGATAAACCAGCTTGGAGCGAGATGAAGACCAAGGCCGGGAAGGAGCGGAAGCGCCTGCCGTTGGCATGCATCGCATGCCGCCGCAAGAAAATCCGCTGCTCGGGTGAGAAGCCCGCGTGCAAACACTGTACGCGCTCGAGGATTCCGTGTGTGTATAAGGTTACTACACGTAAGGCGGCGCCGCGCACAGATTATATGGCTATGCTGGACAAGCGACTGAAGAGGATGGAAGACCGCGTAATCAAGACTATACCTAAGGAGGAGACAAGGGATATGCTCTCTATTGGAAGATCGGTTGTCAAACCTTCCGCCTCGGTTCAGCCGTCAAAGGCACAGAAGAAACGAAGTGCGGAAGAGGCCTTCGCGGCAGAAATGGATGAATGGACTCGTGGGACTGGCCGCCTACCACACGAGGCGTTCCCAATGAATCGTGAAGTCAAACCTACAGATGGGACTGGGCTTCTCACCGAAGGAGCCGAGTTTTTGCCCTCATTGGAGATTCAAGAGCATCTTGCAGAGGTGTTTTTCGATTGTGTCTATGGGCAGTCATACCTCTTATTACACAAACCCAGCTTTATGCGACGGCTTAAAGCAGGCACAATTCCCCCTGTCCTGATTCTTGCTGTCTGTGCCGTATCTGCGCGGTTCTCCACACATCCTCAACTCAACTCGGATCCGCCATTCTTACGTGGAGAAAATTGGGCCAATCCCGCCGCGGCTATCGCTCTGAGCCGGCACGACGAACCGAACATTACCATTCTTACCGTCTTCTTACTTCTTGGTCTTCATGAGTTTGGAACCTGTCATGGTGGACGAAGCTGGTCTTTTGGAGGTCAAGCACTCCGGATGGCATACGCGTTGCAGCTCCATCAGGAGCTTGATCAGGATCCATTACTCAGTCAAAAGAATGGTAACGGCTCGCAGTTGAGCTCCACTGATCAAGAGATCCGGCGTCGGACTATGTGGGCATGTTACTTGATGGATCGGTATAACTCTTCTGGAAGTCAACGGCCGCCTATTGGGAATGAAAGGTTTCTACAGATACAGCTTCCTATCAAAGAGCCTCACTTCCAGATGGAGATACCTGGTCCAACGGAAGACCTTGACGGCGATATTTTAAATCCCGTACCTGAAGATACAGGCCAATTATCTAATGCTAAAGAAAACATGGGTGTTTCAGCGTACATTATTCGCGCCATCGTCATTTGGGGGCGTATTGTCGACTACCTCAATTTGGGTGGAAAGAGAAAGGACGTACATCCACTTTGGCATCCAGAATCAGGGTACACGCAGCTTAAGCGGCAAATTGAGGAGTTCTCTGCTTCTCTTCCGGTTTCTTTTACCTTCACCTACGAAAATCTTCAAATCCATGCAGCGGAGAAGATTGCAAATCAGTTCATTTTCCTCCACATCATCATACATCAAAATATGCTGTTTCTCAACCAGTTCGCCATTCCCTTGTCTCCGGGGGGGCGTCCACCAAGAGATATGCCCAAGTCCTTCCTCAGTAATGCAGGTCGGGCCGCGGTGGAAGCAGCACACCACATTTCTGTGCTTTTTGATCGAGCTTCAGCCTATCCCCTCACTGTTCCTTTTGCTGGGTACTGCGCTTACTCGGCAAGCACAGTCCACATTTGGGGGATTTTCTCGAAGAATGTCCAGCTGGAGGCACGGTCAAAGGAGAACCTCCGGCATACGTACCGCTATCTCAATAAAATGAAAAAGTATTGGGGCATGTTCCACTATATGGTTGAGAGTGCCAAGGATCGATATCGGCAGTTCGCCGATGCAGCTATCAAGGGCTCTGTGGCTCAGAATGGCGCGTCGCTAACACCCATGTTCCAATATGGTGACTGGTTCGACAAGTATCCCCATGGGGTGTCAAGGGTGCATTGGGAGGACCCCGATACTCGACACAAAGAAACGGGCGAAGACGCAGTCATGGGTCAGAAACCCGACCTCCAGAGCGTGGAAGATTTCTTTGCCGGCCTTTCCCCTACTCCACAGTCAAGTCAACCCCGCAAATCACGATCTCGCAATAACAGCAAGCTATCGGATGGAGCTCCTGGCATGGACCAGACTTCACCGCAATCAATGATGGAAGTGACCATGGGAAACACCCCGGGTGTTCCAGACAGTGCATTCCCACAGCCATCCATTTTCCAACAATCCAGGCCAATGACATTCGGCCAACCACCATTCGACTTCAGCATCCCACCAGACCAATTACCGCAACTAGATCGGCAATTCGTATATGGTTCATTTTCCGATTTCGACCCCACCTCATTCGTCCCAAACAATCCTTCTATCCCACCCCTCAATGACGTCGAAACACAAAGTCCAGATCAAACGCTATTCACGGGCCATCTGGATCCAAGTGCCCCTGCTGGAATGGGCGAGTTCTACCAGCCCAGCGCGTGGTTCCTCCCCTTCAATCTTGACCCTGTTAGCGGTGGAAACCCACCATCACAAGCTCCGCCTCCGGCTCCCATGCCCGGGGGAAGCAATCGTGGTGCCACGCCATCCGGAATTCCTTCCGTCGATATTTCCGGCTTCGGTGGTACTGGGGGCTTGCCTTTAAGCGCATACGATCTTGGATTAACTGGTCCGAATATGAAAGTCTCACGGCCGTGATTCTTTCTCGATGACTGCTACGTGATGTTTTGAGTTTTATTTACATTGATTGGGAAAAGGTTGGAGTCGGACTTTGGGGGCCAGGGTCTGCTACTTTTCGCGCTGCTGTTCATATTTTCGGCCCATTTGTGTTGATTTGTGTAAATATTATTGTCTTGTCTCCAACATGTATATCCCTTTCTTTTGGAGCTAATTTTCTGGAGGATATCCGTATTCAATGGCTTGGTTTTCTCGGTTAGACATTACAACCTTGTAGACGATTCAAATAATCTGAGAAAGAAAATAATTGACTGCTTCATCCCTACTCCCAAAAAAATAAGTGAAAATAACCACCAAAAAAGAAATTGTTGTGCATCATCCGTGAATCGAACACGGGCCTCGTCGATGGCAACGACGAATTCTACCACTAGACCAATGATGCTAGTTGAATGATTAGCTTTGCTTTGTGGAGACTATGTTCACTTAGGGGCTCATGAGTATGATCCACATTGAAAAATAATATAGGATCACATTACGGAGAATAAAGTAGATCTATGCAATTCAAGTTGATAGACTGTAATTTGACAGCCTAATGTATAATTACTTCATGGTTTACTTAGATTGAGTATACTAGCCGTGAATATGAATAAATTAAGATGGTATGCGATACCAAATGTGGTGTGGATATATATCCACCCGAGGTAGGTAAACGGTTGCAAAATATATTCGTGGACAACATGGAAAATATATGTACTACAGATAATCAGACAAGGGGAAAAGTCTCAGAATTTATTATCTGAAAACCCCGAGAAACAAAAGTGGCCATAGTTGCCACTGCACAAAAAGGAGTGTAGAGAAAGGGCATGGGAAACACAAGTCGGTATAAGACAAGGGAAACCAGAGAAGAAAAGGCAAAAGCAACCATCCACTAATCATCCCACTCTTCATCCAGTTGATCTATGAGCCTGTTCTCGGCATCCACGTCACGCCCCTGACCACGTCCCCCCCGGCCTCCTATGGCACCGATGAAGCCGCCACGGCCATTCGAGTCCGCACGTGTGTAGCCATTGCCCGCGGGGGATCCCTTGCAACGGAAGAGGTTTCCTAGCGAGGAAAAGATAATCACGAACATGTCCTGTTGGTGTAGAAAGAAAGAAGTGGTCAGCGTCACGTTCCAAACAATGAGGCTCGCAACTGCAATCGATCGTCTAAGTACATGCAATAGAACATATGGCCATCTAATGAAGCAGGAGGAGTAGTGACTATGCAGGAGCTGTCTCCTACCCAGGGACCCCGAATATGAAATGACCAGTCCATTGACAAGGATCGAAGGGATAGTCCACTTGCATAACTCGAGACATCTTGTCAAACATATTAAAATGTACACGCCGTGATCAACACAGGCGGGCCAAGACCCAAAAGAGTTAAACCCAAAGGAAAGAGCATGCCTCAAAAAAAAAAAAAAAAAAAAAAAAAAAAAAAAAAAAAAAAAAAAAAAAAAAAAAAAAAAAAAAAAAAAAAAAAAAAAAAAAAAAAAAAAAAAAAAAAAAAAAAAAAAAAAAAAAAAAAAAAAAAAAAAAAAAAAAAAAAAAAAAAAAAAAAAAAAAAAAAAAAAAAAAAAAAAAAAAAAAAAAAAAAAAAAAAAAAAAAAAAAAAAAAAAAAAAAAAAAAAAAAAAAAAAAAAAAAAAAAAAAAAAAAAAAAAAAAAAAAAAAAAAAAAAAAAAAAAAAAAAAAAAAAAAAAAAAAAAAAAAAAAAAAAAAAAAAAAAAAAAAAAAAAAAAAAAAAAAAAAAAAAAAAAAAAAAAAAAAAAAAAAAAAAAAAAAAAAAAAAAAAAAAAAAAAAAAAAAAAAAAAAAAAAAAAAAAAAAAAAAAAAAAAAAAAAAAAAAAAAAAAAAAAAAAAAAAAAAAAAAAAAAAAAAAAAAAAAAAAAAAAAAAAAAAAAAAAAAAAAAAAAAAAAAAGAATAAGAAGAAGAATGACATATGTCCGACAAGACACAAGGAAATGGATGGAACAGGCCAACCGCAACCGTTTTCCCCGAAGCGATTGGTCTCCAGACCAGCTAAAGCAAGTTCAATCCATCCTTGAAACAGGTAGTCCTGCCACATTTGAATCCCGGAACTTATGCGACACGAACTTGCCATATCTGAATTTGCGACGAGGCCAACATGGGATCAATGCTAGGATACTTACTTTGACAAAGTCGAAAACGCCAGCCCATAGGCTGAAGTTCGGACACTGGCGCCAGCCACGTTGATGCATGACCGTTCGCTGGTAGGCGCAGCCACCAATCAGATATACGGCGATGGCGATCACCATACTAGAGGACAGGGTCAGCATGGGTTACATTTGGTGCTTCCCCAACAAACAGAAAAGGGTGCTCACATCACACCGAACACGCCGCCCGGTCCCAAACCGCCAGCGTTGGGATCCACGGCGATTCCACCACATGCAGCCGAGCTGCGGACTTCAAAGAAGTACGAGCATTCATCCATGGAGCCGACGAAGGAAGCCGTAGCAACGTTTGGCGCGGCGTCACGGTCACAAAGGAAAGACATGATAGTCGACTTAGTGCGTGAAGAGCCATTGGAACTGCCCATGTTATAGTCGTCCGGACAAGGCGAGCCATTGGTATAATTGAGGACGAGTTTGCGGCCGCGGAAGAAAGGTTCAGATGCTTGTTGCCTGTATATGACCGAGAATTGTTAGCACAATGACCAGAGAATGAATCCAACTAATGCGACCGGTTAGGATGGGGATCAGCTATACCCTATGGAATATCTTTTATCATCGCGCTCGTAGTATGCACTGACGTTCTTCCACCGCGATGACTCTATTCCGACCACGTCCGTCACGTTCTCAATAACCGGCGCGCAAATATTGATTGTGAAATTGGCCGGGTAATCATGACCCCTGGCATACCAGCTGCTGTTCCGCGCATCTTTCGAGAGCTTGTTGCCGTCCTTCAGTTCGGGCGGGGATAATGAGATCGCATTGAGGTCAAAGTACAATCCGGTGGTCGGAGAGCGGGCAACACATGGAGCGTCATCTTCCAAATGGGAAGAGTATGTTGCGCTAGATAATCCGAGGATTGAGGATAGAAGGAAAATAGAATAATGAGCGGAGCTGGTGAGCTTCATAGTGGGCTGTGTTGGGGTCAACCCAAGGCAGTCGCAGTCTCAGAGTAGAAAAACGAAATGGGATAAGGAAAGTGAAGAGAGTAGAGAAAGAAATATCATGCGCAAAATGATAGAAATGACCTTTATGAATGAAGGAGGTAAGTGTATGTATCTCCCCGAGATAGAGGGAGAGAGGCTTACGTAGCATCACCACGGCGGTGATTGGCGATGCGGAGCAAACCTGGCGGAACACCCAACATCCGACGTCGTACGCGACTTATAGGCCCCAGGGACTTATTTAAGGATCTTCCCCCCACACTTGGGTAGTTCCTGGATTATTTCTCTGTCTATTCATTGGCTCTGTCAATTACTTCAATATGCCCTCCAAAAAGGACTCAAAAAAAATATCCGTGCAGCCAGTGCCGGAGAAACGTGGTTATGAGTTCGGTGGACCGTATGTCTTTCCCCCTTCAATTAAGTTAGGCGCAGCTGACATTTGCAATAGACTAGGTGCTTTCGGTATTATATTTGGATTGCCGATCCTGATCTACCTCTTTACCTTTGTTTGCAACGATATCTCTGGTTGTCCCGCCCCGTCGCTGCTGAATCCCTCAACTTTGTCGCTCGAACAATTGAAGCTCGAAGTGGGTTGGCCAGAGGAGGGAATTACGGCGCTTTATGATACCAATGTTACACTGTGGACACTGAGCTACTATGCCCTCAGCCTGTTTTTGCAGGTCTTCCTTCCCGGTCAGGAGGTAGACGGTGTGGTGTTGGCCTGCGGAGGACGGCTGAAGTACAAATTCAATGGTATGGCAATGGCAGCCCTTGCTCGCATGTCGCATTCAAACAAGGGTATTTTTGTTCTGACCCGGCTCATTTTATAGCATTCTCCTCTGCCATCATTATCCTATCAGGCCTCGCCGGGGGCACTTACCTCTATGGAGCCGACTTTGTGGTGTGGACATTCCTATGGGACAACTATGTCCAGGTCATTACAGCAAACTTGTTGATCTCTAGTTTTGCTGCATTGTTCGTCTACGTGAAGAGCTTCACAGTTCCAGCCCCAGGGCAGGCAAACCCAAGCCTACGAGAGCTGGCACCTGGCGGCCATACGGGCAACATGCTCTACGACTTCTTCATCGGCCGCGAACTAAACCCTCGTGTTCGCCTGCCCATTCCATTTGTAAGTGAGGCATCGCGAACCCTTGATATCAAGGTGTTTATGGAGATGAGACCAGGCTTGCTTGGATGGACAATTTTGAACCTGTCCAATGTGGCCCACCAGTACCGAACCTATGGCTACATCACCGACTCGATTGTGCTGGTCACTATTTTCCAGGCATTCTACATCCTGGATGCGCTATACATGGAACCGGCAATTATGACCACAATGGATGTATGCATGGACGGATTCGGATTCATGTTGTCTTTCGGTGATGTGGTTTGGGTGCCCCACCTGTACAGCGTCCAGAGCCGGTATCTCTCCGTCTTCCCTTACGAGCTTGGCTTGGCCGGTATGGCAGTTGTTTTGGGTGTCACAGCCGTTGGATATTCGATCTTCCGTGGCGCCAACAACCAGAAGAACCGTTTCCGCACGAATCCCAATGACCCCCGCGTGAAGAACATCAAGTACATCGAAACTGCTGCTGGATCCAAACTGATGATCTCCGGCTGGTGGGGTTTGGCGCGTCACATCAACTACCTGGGTGACTGGACTATGTCGTGGGCCTACTGCCTGCCAACTGGTGTTGCGGGGTATGTTCTTATTGAGAGCATTAACCCAGCCACTGGCGCTGTCCAGAAGCAAGCGGTACAGACCCCGGAAATTCGTGGCTGGGGTATGATCTTCACGTACTTCTACATGATCTACTTTGGCATCTTGTTGATCCACCGTGAGATGCGTGATGAGGAGAAGTGCGAGAAGAAGTACGGGGCTGACTGGAAGCGTTATACCTCCATCGTCCGCAGCCGCATCATTCCTGGAATTTACTGAGAGATTTTCACGAAAAACTTCTTTAAAAACTTCTTCCACAGGCCTTGGATTGAATTTCAATGCCTGATTTTTGTATATTAATTATCCCTAATATTTTCCATAGTTAGCTTGCGAAAACTTTTACACTCTTTGGATTACACTCTTCCAAAGCAGGTCATCGTTGCTTTTGTTGTAAAGGAATTTGACCAAACAAGATAGCAAATACAAATTCTACCATGCAAGTTCAATGTTCTTACCAATAGAAACTTTCAATGGAGCATTGAAAGTTAAAGTGAGACCGATGTAGCAATTAATTACTTGCTGTTGAACGATTTCGGGTTGCTGCTCTAATAGGGTTCCCAAGTGATCATCAACATCACTAGTCGTTCACCGTGCGATGAATGCAATGAATGCATTGAAGCTGGTGCTCGAGAATCCATGGGACCTTTAAGTTCACTGATCGCCTTGATGTTTATTAGAACAGCACGCGACACTCGTATCATCAACCTACTTTCAACGGCTGTTCTTACAGCAAGACTGTACCGGACCACTATACTATATATTTAGCTTCTGATCTATTGCATCTCATCGAATAAAATTGGTTGCTCTCGTTATGGCTAAGTTCGATTTATTCCTCGATGTTAATTCCACAGCAATACTAATGAAGTAGAGAAGCTACGGTGGCAACTTTTGAAGTAGTTGATGTGAATCATACATCTGAAATCAATTAAATAACTGAGCAGATACATCCAGCTATGAGTCTCTCCGCTAGTCTTCAATCATCTTCAGAATCTTCAAAATCGTCACCTGCCTTCCTCATAGAATCAACCATGTGAGCTTTGAGCTCATTGACGAAGCGATCAATTTTGTTCTTGTAGTCGGCGCAAGAGCCCACAAGGAAGTCCTCATGTACATTCATATAAATGAAGACGGCAAAATGGTGACGGGTTAGTCGTTCTAGTCGCATATCCTGCCGTTGCGCTTTTGTTTTGTTGAAGATATGAAGAGTTGATAAGTAGTCCAAGTCCTTTGTTTCACATGCGTCGTAAGCCCGAGGTCTATCCAATATTCGGCACTTATTAGAAAGTACTTGACAAACGGAACAAGCACATCTCGGAATCCATATTGACAGCCTGTCGTATCGATAACCCATGTTTCCTTGCTCTCGATTTGTCCTATCTTCAACACTGTGTGTGGGCCGCCCTGCAAATCGGGACCAGGAACAAGACTAGTTGGAACCCGTGGTCTTCCGATATTGATAGCCATGGTCTCAATTTTCAAGGGTACACCTGATTTGTTTTAGCCACGGCTCGCTTCGGTACGTACATATATTAATGGCCTTTTACCTCGAAGTAATTTTCTGGTCAAGGGACCCAAGAGCGCCATGGCTGCTGTAGATTGGCTCTTAACGAGGGCCGCCTCCTTGTGCTCGATGTTGTCAGTCATGTGGTTGGGGAAGGGCCCGCGTTTGGATTGAGACGAAACTGGTCTTTGATTTTGATGGAGATAGAGGACCCCGTCTCGATACTCGATCTTAGTTAGATCCACGTCGTATACGGTCTCTCTGTATGCTAACATGGCTGCCTTTAGTATCTGGGCAGCTCGGAGCAGTATCTTCCGTTTCTGCATGTTCTTGCAAAAGTCTTTGTGATTTGGCCAGTCTCCCATCTGACACTCACGGCTACAGTAAAAAACAACTCGCGAATCGCCGCTTTGGTATTCGGGTGCATGCGAGCAGCCCAAACACATTGTCTTAGTTGCTGTCCCACATTTTGCGCACTGGACTGCAAGCTTTAGGGGCATATTGGAGACAAAGCTGGCGGTTGTAATTAAAGCTTTGTTGAAGAAGCGGAATATTCCATCGGTTGTTGCGTATGGGAGGCGGGATTCGAAGCTTGAAGTGGTAGATCGATTATTGGGCACTAGAAGGTAGGGAGGGGACACAATCAAAGGTAACCGAGCAAAATCCTGAGATGTCCCATTGTTGACATTCTGCAGAACTCATGGAGTGCTTCCTCAGTGCCTGATTGGGAACAGCAAACCAATTTCCTTCTTCTCTGTCTGATGGCCCCAAGATATTGTTGAAACGAACAAATGACTCTTTTCATCTAGACACAAAGTATCTTGTATTCTATGGGTATCTTAAAAGGGGGATACGATGGGGTTACTACTATAGTTTCATGGGCCAGAATAATCTTCATCGTAAAATCTTCCATCCTCTGGACACAATCAACGCTTTCGCTTTTTGGGGTCAACCAAAACATCCAAGCCCCACGATTCATCTCCTGTATTGGCCATCCATCCCTTGAGAACCAGTTTCGCATCTCCGATGGCCTGATTACGGATTTGCAACGGGTCTTCCAAGTTGCTAGGATTTTTGAAATCCTGGTAGGTGGTTATATCTGGCATGTGAGGCTGAAGTGTATTGATGGGCAAATCTTCAGCCTCTATGGCATCCGACAGCGGTCCGGATGGGGAGACATCGGTTTGATAGGTGTGTGGAACCGAGGCAGGCGTGATTTTACGAAAAAGAGCCCAAAGCTTAGCTCGGGATAGAGACGAGGCCCCACGGGCACCGGGTGAAGATGCCCGGTTTCCTTGCTTCACTCCGTTGATGATAGTCTCATATAAGCCGGTTTTGGAATGACAAAGGGTTGGCACTGACTTGCTGCCGGTATCCATGGTCATTGCCGATGGATAATTATACGAGGGAGCCAATATCCAAACGGCGCTCACATTCCCTGGCCTGGCCTTTTTAGGTTTTGCACCAGATGTTAAAGAATCTCTTTCCTGCTCCAAAGAAATTGCAGGACAAGGCACAGATTTTGGCTTCGCAAAAGGCCAAAGCGCTGCCAACTCTTCACTCGGCACCGAAAGAACCTGGAATGGCCGGAATCGATACCCTGGTGTCTTCTCATTCAACTTTGTCTCCCTAGGCCAATATCGCCCACTCAAAGCTTGCATTCGGCCATTCTCGCCAAAGGAGCGGTCACAGCCAACTTGACTGATTTCGTCCTCGGGGAGAATCAAACCCGCCAGATAGGCGTTTTCGGTGGGAGCGACGAGGCGACTGGTCTCACAGGACAACAATGAGGAAACTTGCCGTAATGCAAGCTTGTCTGAGCAGGACTTGCTGCGCGTGGACTCGGCGTCCATGCGTGCTGGCTTTCGACGCACGACTCCGAGAAGAGAGAAGTGGGCCCGGCCATCTAGAAGGGTCTCTGTACCTGGAACCTTTGCGTCTTGGATTTTTGTCAAAGTACCTTCTTGACGTAAGACTTCCCACGGTGTCGCATCATCTTGAGCTGCCATGCAGAGCTCCATGCTTGCATCGCCGCAAGGAGCACATGTACAATACATGTAAATATTGATATCTGGCCGAATCTCAAAAGGCGGCCATTCTGTGCGTAGTGTACCGATACTATCTTGATCCTCTTCAATATTTCTCCTTTGTATGAATGGAGAATCCGATACTTTTTGACTATCGGGGGTAGAAGTATCATGGCCATTCGGTAATTGCTTTTCCCGGGATAGGACACTGTTGCATTCTGTCAGAAGCCAATAATTGAATGCTCGGATGGCCAATATCTCGGCATGACAGTCATGTAGTACAAGACCCCTGCAGCGTGGGATATGAGATGCAGACAAGCATTTTGCGCCACTCCTACATAAATATCAGCTTTTTTGAATATAAGTCGCTTGCATATGACTTGGTCAGATTTGCAAATGGGAAATTCATAACTTACGTGACAGATATGCAGGTCAGACTTTCCGAAGGTGTGTTTTCTCCTATAAGCAAAGAGTCAAAAATATTAATATAGAAGATCAACTGACATCAAATCAAAAGAAAGACGTGTGCGGCGAAGTAAAAAGCAAAGAATGGACCGATCCGCTTCACTGTACATACATGGACAAGGACGAGGGATAACAACTCGCTGATATTAACAATAAAACATACCTTTGACCGCTACAATACCGGTCATTGGAATCCATTCCCTTGACCCATCCGGAAATATGGTTGGTTTACTGCGCGTTGGCAGAGCATCGAAATGTGCATGAACCAGCGATGCTATCCGGGATGATAATGAGAAATCAGATAAATCAGCAGACATTGGATATGATCATAGTCAGAACGACAATTCCTTAAACAAACAAATGCTTTATTAAAGGCAAAGACAGGATCGAAGAATCTAAGATGTCCATACGATCACGTGAAACCAGGTAATTTATGCCTGAGGCGTCAATATTCTCTTTCTTCTTTCAAGCTTCCCGCCATCCTTCTTAATCCAACATCAACATCTGTACTATCCACCATGGCTGACAAGCTCCGCACCATCCAGAATCTCGAGGCTCTCCAGGCCCGTTACATCGGTACCGGACACGCCGATACCACCAAGTATGAATGGACGTCCAACATCCTCCGCGACACCTACTCCTCCTACGTCGGTCACCCTCCCCTGCTGTCCTACATGGCTGTTGGCATGGGCGAACCAAAGGAGAAAGTGCGCGCAATGATGCTGGAGAAAATGGTCAGAGGCGCTGGTAATCCGCCAGAGGTATGTGATGTCTTGAAGAGTTGTGAAACATGAGACAATGATGGGTTAGCTAACATGTGCTCTCCAACGATTCAGACGCAGGAGTAAAACTACCCAGTGTGGCTTATTCTTGTCTTCCTTGATACCCCTTGTCGCGTCCTTGGCTTTCCATACAGGAAGGCAGATCCTCCGATCCTCCGACCACTAGTCCAGCTCAGCAACCTTGCTGGCATGAGATAATACCCTCTGTGTACGGGTTCGAAACCACCAAAGACCCATTTTCTCGAGATTTCCCTTCGATCTCTTCGGTACGAAGCAACAATTCCAACTCAACATGCGAACCGCTCTATGAAACAAGGCCGATAGATCCCTCTATCTGGGTTTCGTATCATCTAGAGATTGCCGTGTTTTGGCTTCCAAGTCTTCAACAATCCTTCAATTCCTTGTCAGTGAGGGGGAAAATTTGTGATATACCATGCATATCACATGAAATTATGACATCAACAAGTTCCCAAATACCCAATCTTGGAACCAGCATTGTGACGAATGACCTGGTATTGCTTGATGGGCATTCAGTTCGTCAACTGCGCCCAACGCATGAGAGAAGCTGCTCCAGAGCTGTATCTCACTTGATTGGCCATGGTCTGCAATATTATAATCCAGTCATAATGTTCGCAACATGAAGATTCGAATATCGAAATCCCCGTATATACATATTAATTTAGTAATAGACACAGGACAAAGTATGTAGTTATAAACCATAGCGTATATCAGACCTCGATCAAAACCACAAATCAACACGTAGAGGAGGCTAGAAAACAAATCATGTAGCATGTACAAGCTATGTCTACCAACCAATTAAGCATCCTCCGACTTCGCCGCCAACCTTGTATTCTCCGCCTGCAACGAAGAAACAAGATCGACCCATTTCTTGCGTTCAGAGCGAAGCTGCTTGACTTCCTTTTTGAGATCATGTACCTCCTGCTTCAAGCTATCAACTTCAGACTTGTTCTTGGACTTGGACTTCTGCGAGCGCTCCTCATCCTTTCTCTGCTTCGCTTGGATCTTCGACGCAATCTTTAGTTGGCTAGCCTCGATCTTGCGTAGCTGCTTAAGCAGCTTAGATTCCCCATTGAGGAATTGAGAGGCAGCTTTGGGGAGAAGTGATGGCGGGTCGGGGGTTGCCGTCTGCGCAGAAGATGACAGGTCTTCATTGCTGAGCGCGCCCTGCGGTTGACTCTGGCTCTGCTGTGCGCGAGTGCTGGCAGGCCTGGAAGACCTATTCGTCGCTGCGCGTTTGCGCATTCCGTTGGTGTCGCTGTCTACCTCGCTGGTGCCTTTTACTGGGGTCCCTGAGACACTAGGCGGTTGCGATGAGATTTGAAACTTGTCGAGTTCGGCGCGGATTTCGTCCAGCTTGATTTCGACTTCGCGTTTGCGGATAGCTAGTTTTGCAAGCTCTTTCTCGTGGGAAGTGGGCTTGCCATCCTTTGTCATTTCGATCAGTTCCTCCGGTGACATGTTGTTGGGTGCCTCGTCGATGGCAGTTGCTGCTTGCTCGGAATTGGCCGAGGAGAGCGAAAAATGGTCATGCTCGGGTGGTCTTGAAGATTCAGGGTCCAACGCTGCTTTATTTTGTTGAACGCTTTTTGGGTTTAGATGTGCTATGCCATCTCCATCGATGTAGGAAACCTCATCCCCGGCCGGGAGATCACCCGATACTGTAGTGTGGGCGCCATAGCCTAGAACTTGTGGTGCGAACCGTTCCAGTCCAGTACTGAGCAAATTAGTGACACTGGCAATTAGACCATGATGCGAATGCTCGCCGTCGCTGTCGAGTGATTCGTAATCCGAATCCGAGTCGTCTGCCTGGTCGGAGTCGTATTCATCTACAGACTCTCCGGATTTTGCCTTGGCGCCTGCTAAAGTATCTTCAGCTTCCGTACCTGCGCCATTTTCTTGCTTGGGAGGCTTGTCATCTTGAAGAGCCCAATTAACAAATTTAGCGGCGTCCATTCCCACGCTTCGTGGTGTTCCCTTGTCCACCATCCATCGCGGGATGTTACCGCCCGGGTCACTCCTGGTGACCATGATCCATTCAACAGGATTCAATTCTTCGTCTTCGTCATCCCTAGCTCCATCCTGCTCAGGTAGTCCCTCAGACCGTTGCAGACTGGACGATGGGGATTCCCTATTCTTCTCACTCTCCTGACTAGAAGAGCTGCTCCTGTAGCCCTTCTTAGGAATCTCCCGGATAAGCTCGATAGACTCATACTGTCCGCGAGTATACCCCTGCTTATGCCGGACATCGGGGTGGTCACACGGCTTAGAAATCATCATCCAGCTGCGACCAGGCTGCTTAGTTCCGCCAGCTTGCAATCCAGAATCGGAATTGATAATTAACGGCACAAAGTCGCGGGGGGCAGTAGGTCTGGGAAACTGCGCCGAGACATGGTAAACTATTAAATCCCCCAAGATCGAACCATCGTGGTCCTTGACCTCAATGTTCTCGATTTTTTCTTCAGCGCCGATCCCGCGGATGCACTTGTCAGGCGTCTGTCCCTTCTCAATCTTTTTGCGATTTACTTTGAGCGTTTCATCGTACTCGGTTGAGAGCTTCTTCCGCCAGTGTGAGAATGAGAGGCCCTCATGCACACTCCTTCGCCCGAACCATGAGCTCCCGCCGTCATTAGCGGGAAGTTTCCACACAGTCACGTCTAATGGATTGTCCCTTGGTCCACCCATCTTGAGTGGCTTCCCCCATTCTTTTTGCAGGTCTGTAATCTCCGGATCGGTTTCTCCCACTCGTACGGATGATGGGACAATTCGTCGGGCGGAGGAATTTGTCGTACTGTCTAACCCGGGGTAGTCATCGTTATCGGAGATTGGGGGGTCTGGAAGTGACTCCGCTACCAGGCGGCTCTTTTTGAAGATCTCGTGCATGTAGTCTCGGAGCTCGTCGGGGTTCTGGGGGACTTCATCCCATGACGTTGGTTTGAGGCATTGGAGGGCCTCATGTAAGGTAGCCATAGGTGCAGTAAGAGGCTTTAGTATTATGAAGTCCTAGTATCCTGTGATGCCGCAAAGCCCGAGTTGTGTTGGTAGTGTAGTAACGTTGTTTCGAGTAGCCGGAGGTTATCAGCTCGTGGTTATACCGGAACCAGGAAACGGAGGTGGGATAAGCGGTGATACCTGGCTATCAAATTTATGAAAACTGCGATCTCATAGAATGCTCAGGTGGCTTGTTCAGGCGGAACTTTATAAATTGATGAAGCACAGCGTGGTAAAACTCGGATAAGAGACAAATGCAACAGAATTCACAATGCGAAGAGACGGCAGCACGTGAAAGAAGGCAATCTAAATGCAAGTAAATGTGTTAAGGGAGTGACTGTGAATAATAGCGGGTCTCGATGAACAGCTTGATGTTACCTGCGGGGTCTTGGCAGCTGACGTCATACAATGGGGTAATATACCCGACAATCCATCTTGTAGTTATGGGGTTGCCTTGAAATGATCTTGATGGATTTATATTTAGTTTACTATTACTATTAATGGGTTTGCATATCTTGAATTCTCGCTACCATATCTCATACTGTACTTTCTCCGTATGACGAATATCTAGTTATAGGTACAAAGCGAGAGGAAGAAATTGTGTATGCACTTTTTAAAACTACATAAGCTAAAGAGATACATACATTTCAACAGAGCTGTTGACGGATCAACGTAAACCAAGAGAAAAGAAGCAGCCAGTGCAAGGGACCAGCCCCCCGATGAGATAGACCATAAAGGAAAGTAACTATCAGATCGAGCATCTGATTCTTGTCGTCGGGATAAAGAATGAGGGGCTCTTCCATCCGGTGAAAGAGCCCACCGACAGACCAAGCTTGCCCAGGAATTTATAAAACCCAGCCTGGACGATAGGAGATGAATCTATCATTGCCGACTATAGCCATTGGAGGTGAGGAATTCGTAGCGCAGAGTATGGAAATGACTGCCACTTAGATCTCGTCGCTTAGGGCGGGATGTGAAGATCCCCAGGTCACAGACCGAAGGAGGAAATCCAGTGCATCGCCCTTTGCGCTCGGTATCTGCCACAGGCGGATGTACTCGAGTCTGACGAGGGCTGAAGGCAATCTTCTCTCACACTCGTGTTGCTGATATTCACCTCCTCGAACCAAAGGTGACTAAAGATGCGTGCTCCAACCAAGCATCACAGATGCAAGGAAGAAGCTGACGCCATCGCATAAACCTATCCTCCAATTCTCCGATAAAGAGAACTGGCCAGTCCGGTAGCCAGTACCAGAAGGACAGACCTTGTAAGAAAGGCAAGAAAACGAAAGTACGCGCTGAACCCAGTCCAGTCGAGTAACCCAATCTTGCTTCCTTCCCTTTCCATCAAGCTGCGACGGAAGAATCGAAAACATAACGTTGGACAATTCATGTCCAAATTCATATCCTCCACATGCCGCGAGGCAGACCAGTCTTCATGACATATATGCGGGACAAAAGAAACGAAACATAACAGAGAGCCGTCCCGCCGCTTCTTGATGCAAACAAAAATGAAAAAAAAATAAAGGAAAAAATAAAAAATAAAACATCGCTGACGCTGGAATCAAACATCAAACTATCAAAACAAGCGCAGAAAAAGATAATTCTGATTATCATGCAAAAGGCAGGAGGGAGTATCACAGATGCACAGTGTCAAATCGAAGAGAACGCCGTCAAGAATGCGAATTGTCGTTGCTTGGAATCGGGTTCCCGGTAGGGAGGAGAGAGAGAGGAGAGGGGGAGTCGTGAAGAAACCGAAAGAAATGCGCGCGTATATAGCTTTAAGAAACGATCTACGTTTCTTAACCCCACATTGAACGAATTGGAGGAGCCTGGACTTGGAGTGGTCGACATCACCGAGTCTACTCAGGAGGGCCGAGCTACGCGATCGTGCCATACGGCAGCGGAGCAAAGTCACCCCAGCTAAAGCCCCCCATACCCATGTTGACAGCCGTGCTGCAGGGCTGTACAAGCATGCTGGGGAACATACTTGGGAACATGGTCGGCAACGGGAGCGGACTGATAGCAGCCGATGTCGTCGGCATGCAGGTCGGCAGGCAGTCGTAGGTCTGGAACGGCGAGGGTGTAAAGGGTTGGCTGTAAGATGGGGTCGGCGATGCAAGTTGGGCATCACTGAAACTAGCCCAAAGATTCGGATTAGAATCACCCGTGGTGGCCGGGTTGGGGCTGGGCGACAGTACTTTCCACGACTCGAGTGGCGCTGGCTGGGGTACCGGGTTCTGCCACCAGTTTTCTGGGCCTGTCGAACTAGGCAGAATAGGCATTGGGCGCATGACATCCACCACTGGTGGTGAAGGGGCAACCAGTGGGACAAAGAGCTTGCCGATGGCTGCCTTTGCTTCTTCGCTGCGACCACTCAGTAGCTCTCCGGCGCCGTCTTCTTCTAGTCCCTCAAGTGCCTGGGCATTGGCGCGGTAGACGAATTTGTTGGCGGCTTGGACAAACTCCTCCTGTAATCTCTTCAGCTCACCGTGCTTTCCCGACCAGTTGTATGTATTGGCGGCAGCATCCACTGAGTAGACCTCCTTGTGGAAATCAACTAGGGATTCGATGGTTTCCGGAGTCAACTTGAAGGCCACCTCGTTACGGGAGACCATGTCGACGTGTACAACGTAGGCCTCCATGTGTATCATTTGGTGGTTGTGCAGGGCTTCCCAGAGATGATTCTCGTTCTTCTCTAACTCTGTTTGGGGGGCTTTGGTGAACATCATTGAACACAGGGTCCAGATGGCATTCTTCGATGAAAGTGTTTCTGTCAGACACCGGGTATGCTGGGTGACATTGTTCAAAGGACGCTTGACTCGGTTAACTCGCTTTAGGGTGGCTGTCAACCAAGGCTCAACCTTGGTGTTCAACACGACATTCGGGGATGATCGCGGCGCAAAAGCAGCGGCCGAAGATGGGAGTAAGACTGTTGGCATTATGACACTGTGCGAAAGGTGATACGTCCGGCGTTGGTATAGCTGATATAAAAGAATGTAGAATCGAGAACATAAATCATAAAGGCGACATTCGCCCACACAAAATGATTTTGGATATGGAGATTGTGTTGATATGTCGTATAATCCAGTATTAAAGTGCGGGCGAATGCGCAAAAAGAACAGAAATTAGAATATAAAAGAAAGGAGATGACATGAAAGTCAGTGTGGTTATAGAAGGAAAAGAGGTCAAGAAGAAGAATAAGAGGGGAACTATCAATAAGTGGAGATTTAATGGCCACAATAATACGTTAATTTTGGATTATTTCTATTTCCCCTATATTATTAGAAGAAAACATAGAAAACCTAGAAAACACAGAATTCATGTTTTCTACCGTATTATTTTTTTGGTATGCAGGCCGATGGAGTCAATGTACATCTACTCCGTACAGTGGCCACACATTTCGGACTCCCCGATCTGCAACCTGAAGACTCAGTGGCGATAATACTTGAATACTTGAAACGGTTAAAAATGCATGAGATCCAAACGTTTCATCAGATTTGACGGGTTCACTCGCACAGTGCCTCTCACACACTCGTTGCACGTCCATTTGGCCAGAACAGCTGCATGATGCCCTAAACTGCAACAGCTAAGCCCCAACGATCCATGAAACGGCTTAAACAGAAAATTGAGAAATCCTCCGAGTCTCCATAGATCATCTAGAGCGACCAAATTTACTATCTACAATTAGCGGGGACTTAAATAATACATTTCTCAGCTGGGCGATGTGCATATTTCAGTGTGCGCCAAGATCTACACATCGTCAAGAGATACTGGATCCTCAACACTAGAGTCTCCCCATGCTTTTGGGTTAAGACTCTAATTAAATTTGGCTGCAGCCTGCAAGCCAAGGCTTAGTTTCGATCCTATTTCCAAGGTGTTTCAATGTACTGTTGTGCTTCAATATCCAACTGGATATTAACCAAAAAAAAAAAGATGAATTAATATTCCCAAGGTTTACAGTATCAATATTATTACACGAAACACATCCATAACAGCCATAACAACCATATCAATGTATTTTTTGGACCTATCGAGTGCCGCTAAGACGATACAGAGTCGTAGACCTCAGCTGATGGAGGGTCGAGCAAGCGTGGGGCAGCGCCCGTCTTGAGTCACTTCAGGGCTGGGATTCGCTGAGACCAACCGAGTCCGGCCGGTGCACAGAAAGCTGAGATCCCTGTTACGATCTGCCATTGGGCTGAGCCTCCATTGCCAGACTTTGGGACGGCGCCACTAGCCCTTGTGTACTGAAATACCGTTTCTTATTGTTGCCTTGTCCACATGATTCAAGTTTTTCAATGATCTCATCTTACTCTTGTACTCTGCAGGCGCCCTCTGCCTCCTGCTTCTTCCCTAAAATGGAATCCCTGCTGCATATGAGTTCGGTCACATGGTCTTGTGTGGGTGTACGGAGTATGGGGTGGGGGCTCGCTTTGAGTCGGATGAGGTTTCGTCATTGTCATTGTGTAGCTATCAAGTAGAGTGGGCACATAACGTTGGGAAAAATATGCGACCGAGTTAGTTGCTTTTTCCTAAAATAGATATGAGGCGGTGCACATTACTCGCCACGTTGTGGCGGATGTCTCCGGCTCCACATGTAAATATGCAAAGCCCTAGTCACTACGGAGTATAGTTTCTTGCTTTACTATGTTCACTTCACTTGTTTTACCGAAAACCGGTTGGAGAAGAGATATAAGTTGGCAAGCTTCGGGAGCTGGAACTTCAGGCAGATCTTAACCACATCTACAGTCAGGCGGGTACTGAAACTCAGCTCTGTCGGGCCGTATCAAGCCTAGTTTCATGATTGTCAGGCTGCCATCAAGTTGGAATAGTGACATCACCCCACCATGAATGGAGCGGTATATTGAAATGAATTGCATTTTGTAGACTGCATCGGTTATGACTCATATGTGTGCCGGTGATGTTCGATTTGAAACGAAGCCAGACAATGCCCTAATATTGCACGGTATACGAAGTACCGTCTGTTAATCAAACTCCTAGGTGAACCCAGAATGAATGATTGCTTTTGAGATATACTAAGCGGCTACTTCACTGTGACTTGTGCTAAGAACATATCCAAGGGGTTCATTCATGCATGAGTGGTACAGCAGCGGGCTCCGAGTCTCATGTAGGCACATATCAAACCACTTCATCATGAAACTCGTGACTCATAAATTATTGCTCATATTGCAAAAGACATGAATAACTTTGATTCGTTCTTATAAGGCATACACATAATTGCCGGGTGGTATGTAAACCTCTGAGCAAGGCGGTTCGCCGTGTTGAAAATCTCCGATCGATTTTATGCTCGTTAGTAGCTTTAGAAACAATGCACCCTACGAACGAATCTGGTCGGAAAGTATTTGAGTATAATAATGATATCATTATTATTAGCATCATGTTGTTTTTCGCTTCATGAAGATATTAGAATCCTTACATGTTATCTCCCATTTAGTTAATCAAACTTGACTTGCGTTGCTGACTAGCAAACAGAGACGCGAGGAAGGAAGAGCTACAACTACTATTTTAGGAGAAGCCTGTGCATAATATGTACTTTGTATGCAAATGCAGCTTTATAAGTTTGGATTATATAGCTGACTCTTATAGCTCTAAAGAATTCAACTTCTGCGACAACTCACCACTAAATTTGTTACATTAACAAATATAAATTTCAAGCCTCTTCCATAGTATCTCAATGGTAAGTATGACTTGTCGTTAGCTCAATGATAAACTAGCTCAATGACCCTCTTTCCGACACAAGCTGCGTTTATTGACGCACTGATACCTATGAGAACTGCTAATTTGCTATCAGGGGGTTGGTATTTAATAGAATATGGTCGTCTCCCTCGGTTAAAAAAACAGTTTACTCCTGCTTGTTATATCTTGTTCGCCTCAATAGCCGCGCATATCACCTCGTCAATAGCCACACCTCTAGCTGTGTTCATGAGATAATGCGTATATCTCTTGTTAGAAGACTAGGCTCAGCTGGTGCTAGTAGTTCAACAAGATGACACCCGCTTCGAGCAACAAATTTGCAACCTACCAATAGTGGATAAGGCAAGCTGTGGAGTATGAGCTCGTGGGGCGGGGCTTCATCCAAAACTTGTATAATGTCTTAGTTCCATATCCCCACGGCTCTTCTCAGTCATTGCTAGGTTATTGCATTACAGAGCAGGCGCGTTGTAACATATTCCCACGATGAAGCACAAGATATGTGGCAATACACTAGTGCAGGAACGGAGCATACCGCATAGAATGACTTCGGGGGCTTTCATTTTTAGCGTAGGGAGCATAAGGTGATCGGGCACTGTGCGAGGAAGTCTCTTTAAAAAATAAGAAAAACATGGCGAGACACCATACAGAATACTAAGAGCCTGCTTGGTTCTGTCTCCGGTCTGCTCACCAAGAGCGTGGTCACAAAGGTATTTGGACTGTTTGACAACGCCAGCGACCTCTTGACAGCCGAGTTCGTCAATGAGACAAAGAGTTTGACCAAAATCGTTGGTCCTGTGATCACTCCTGGATTGTTCAAGAGAAAACATGTCTGCTTGGCAACGCAAATCACCTCCTGATCGTCAAATTTGGAAGGAGAACTAAGGAGCTCATCAACACCGTGTCCCCTGTCCTCACGCCCGACCTGTTCAAGGAGATCAACAGCCTTCTGAGTAACACCAGCGACCTTCTAACCCCTTCGTCTGTAAAGGGGATCAGCAGCCTGCTAATTAATGCCGGTGGTCTACTGACCGTCGGCTTTATCAAAGAGACCAAGAGTCTTATCAGCGCTATTGGTCCTAATATCACACCTGAGCTATTTGAGGAGATCCATAGCGCCCTTGGCAACGCTAACAAACTCCAGACTCCCTTAACTGTTAAGGAGATTAGTGGCCTGTTAGTCAATGCCAACACTCTCCTGACGCCTGCAACAATCAAGGCAATCAGTGGCCTTCTCAAAAATTGCCAATAGCCTCCTGTCCACCGATTCTGCCAAGGAGATCGGTGGTCTCGTCATCAGTGCCAGCAGCCTCTTGACGCCTAGCTTCGTGAACGAGACCCAAGGCCTGATTGGCAGCGTTTCGAAGTACTTGATCCCAAAAACCCTCGCGCGTCTCGTCCCTCTCTGCTCTCCAACGCCAACAACCGCTTGATGGAAGATGCCGTTAAGGAGACCAATGGTTTACTAGACAATGCGGACAATCTCCTCATCACAGATTCAGTCAAAAAGATTGGTGGTCTGCTTTTTAGTGCCAGCGATTTGCTCACACCAAGTTCGTCCACGAGACACAAACTCTGATCGGCGATGCCGCAGATTCATGTTCTCATTCCCCATTTCTAACCAATGGGATGTGTTGCTGACTCTGATTAGATCCTTCCACTTGTCATGAAGCTGCTCGGGTCGTTGTAACGTGTTTTGGATATTTTCTTTCTCTCTAATTTCTTTGGCAACGAAGCATCCATGGTGACTCATGATGATTAATGTTATATATAGGTATCTTTAATACGATATAATCGAACGACAAAACATGTTGATTGATGGTATTTGAAAGTTCCGAGGATTTGAGTTGGATGTGTCGCCATGTAGATGAGAATTATTTGACACGTGATAATAGCTCGTTGACTTCCATAAGTTTGGTGTTGTTCGCGAGGGTTTTATCGTTGTTGATCCAGTCCTGAAAATTCCCAAAAAGGCAAGTGATGTTCGCTTCAAGATGTTGCAATTGGATAAGAGAGCCAATTGGCATAGTGTTCAAGCGAACTCTCACACAGGTAGACATAGGCGAGAAGGTTCCTTAGATTGCCCATTTCCTCACATTCGTAACCGAAAGGCATGTTATTCTCCTGAGGTATGTTGGCAAGGATGTAATCCATGATGAGTGACGAAAAACTTGCCTTCCCTAGAATCATTGATGAATAGTTCTTTCGAGCGTGGCTGAGAACGAATGGAGTCTCTTTTGTGAACGGCAGTTTGTCCACCAGAAAAAGCGACAAGATTATGAAGAAAGCTCTAGTTTCTCCTTCGTGGTCTGAATGGTTTAGAAGGAATGCTGCTATCGCCTCCCTCAAGACGGAATGTCCGACGCCTTAGTATCTTGAAACTTGGACACGACCTTCATTTCGGTGTCGCGTTCCTTGACCTTCTTGTCCATGGATTTTTGAACCTCTTCTCGTTTCCGTTTAGCAACCTCAATTTTCTCTTTCACTTCTTTGGAAATTTGTTCCTGCGCATGGAGCGCCGCCTCGCGTGATTTGTATTGTTCTTCCAGTTGCTTAAGCTCAGTTTGGTAATCTCGAGGTATGATTGGTTGGCATGTTACTGGATGATAGCAATATGATGGTAGTGGCCCATCTGGAACTTTTATCTCGGCGAGATCGGGGTGAATTGGGATGACGCGGGTTGTTGAATCCAAAGGAACGGCCGCGGCTTCGGCCGGGGGAGATGAAGCTGGAGGGGTAGGTTCGGGTTTCACCATGGTCGTGGAGCGAGAACAAGGTTAAAAAGTGGTAGTATTTCACAAGCAACAAGTATTGACCGTATGGGCTTTTCGAAAAAGAGGTAAGATGAGGGAGGACTGCCGTCGGGGAGTCTGGTTATTGATTCTGCCACTTTGTCACACTTCACCGCTTAGGGTGTCCGCGACGTATGCGGGGAGGACTCCTAAATTGACCACTCTATCACTGCTTGACATTGATATTCATGCTAGTTGGGTTTCTTCTCAGCTCCAGATCGAGATACTTCCTCGAGGCCGGTCCTGAGCGGACCAGTTGATGTGCCTGTAGCATCTAAGTTCCCACAAGCTTGAGCCGGTGACGTGACCGCTAACATGCAGGCATTTGGTATGTTCCTCTACGCTTGTTGATTGATGTAAGCTAACACACTAATTATAGTCCCCAAAAATAGGCGAGTAAGTTACTTGATAAGCTTAAGTGAAGTAAATATGTAACTGACTTCTGTTACAGCCTAGGTTCGAGCTCGTTTTAAGGGTATGTATTATATATCGACCATTGGAATGCTGTCAAGATTTCTGACCATCAAAAGATTATTGATATCAATAATGTTCCCTTGGGAAACAGCGTCGCTTTTGTGCGATGGCGATTGCCATCGTCAAGCTCCGCTGAACACCAAGGCCACACAGAGAAAGCAATCCTATCAGATCACCGCGCTTACTGGGGTTATGAAAAATGCCTTCAAGTGAGGCTCACAATTGATAGGACATCAATTCTGCAGGAGTGTGAACTCAACTTTGAAGTCATACAAGAGTACACCTCGTCGCCTATGTCCGAAAAGGGCGTGCTGGGCAAAATCAAACTTAATCTTGCCGAATACGTGGACAAATCCGACGAAGACGAAGGGATTATTCGGCGATACCTGATGCATGAAAGTAAAGTGAATAGTACTGTCAAGATCGGGATCGCGATGCGTCAGCTAGAAGGAGACCGCAACTTCACGACGTAAGCGAACCCCCAAAAAATATTTCTGATCCTCACTCTCAATACTGATGATAAAAGACCACACCTGAAATCTGCCACCGTCTTTGGAGGAATCGCCGGAGTTGTCCAATCCTCCGAAATGCCGGTCAATGCCGATGAATTTGGCCACCTGCCGTCTATTGACACCAAGAGCCGGGAGATTGCAGATATGCAAGACATGTATCGACGCACTTTAGCAGCGTCCTGGTCCTCTAGAGCCTGTGATCTGCCTGCTGATCAGTTGGTTGAAGAGTTGTTTGCTGGAAGTTCTGGCTGGAACAACGATGCACACAATGCCAACGCTGGCATCTCAGCGGGTGATCACCGAGATGCTCTATTGAGTGCAGAGACAGCCCCAAGACAAAGCCGCTCCGGGAAAAAGCTGTCACCCAGTTTCGAACGGCGTCCCAAAAGTACCTCCAGCAATCGCTCACACAATAGCAGTAAGACTCCAGACTCGCTTGTTGCACTTGGGCATCAGAAAAAAAGTGGAAGCATTGAGCAACAGCTGTATGAAGGGGTCAAGGGCCGAGTATGGAAGGCGCCAGACGCAAATAACGAACTTTCCGAGTTCGATGTGAGAGAAGACTTGCGCAGCTGGGAGATTGTACCAAAAGAATGAATTCTATATACGTTTCTGCGCTATTTATTAGTATATGGCTTGAATTCCCTACATTTAAACAAATCTTTTCACCTAAAACTGAGAGAGATGTTTGAGAGAGCTTTGTTCTACATAACCAAAGAATTTATTCAAGAGTTTTGTATATCGTACACTGTAGATTTTGTGACTGTGAGTTTCTGCCTGAGGCATAACTTGATTTCTTATCGCAGCCTAGCGCCCCGATTATCACCGGAGAAAAGCGATCGCAGGATAATTTGCCTTCTCCACGTTTGCAATAGACCTACTGTTCTGTCATGCTTCGACGCCCCGCAGGGAACAAGCTGGGGCTTCTGAGCTTCCAGTCGTTTTCATATCGGAGATCACTATTGTCATACCCACACGTCGTTCTCCCCCGATACCAGAGTAACTGGAGTCGTGATCATGACCGCGAAGCTTTCGATGGACCCAATTCCGAACGAACCCGCGAACCGAAAGATAATGGAAAACATGAAGCAGGCAGATTTACGTTGGATGTGAACACGCTCGGAAAGCCAGGACAAATCGTTGTTGTACCTTCACGTCGCCGCCGAATGTTGAATCGCAATCGCAACAAAAACCCCGAAAATGAATCGGGCGGCACAATCAGCGCTATGTTGGATGAACTTAATGACGAGAACTCACCACCCAGCGATAAGTCGGTCCAGGAAAGAATTGATGAAGTTCGTGGATCATATCAACTGGGACAGATCTTGCCTGCTGCCGATCTCAAGGCATTGTGGTCAAAATTGGCTTCCTCTTTCACATACAAGCAATTGTCGGACTTCATCTCAGAGTACAACCGCAGTTCTGTGGTGGAAGAGCAAGGTTGGACATGGGGGTCGAGTAGCTCCAAATCGCAGGACAAATTATTCGGAAAGACCAAGCGCTTCAGGGGAAAATCCCAGGCTGCAGAGACAATCGTTCGGGATTGTTGGCAGCTGGTGGCTGATGGCGAGCGTGGCCAGTTAGAATTTCGCATACCAGCTCAGTCCATATCCTTACTTCTCCATGCCGAGCATTTCTCTTTCCACGAGCTAGCTAGTCTCCATGGCTGTGGTATTGATGTCACACAATCTGCCGGCCTGGTATCACTTACTGGCAAGCGAAATGATTGTGAGTCTGTTCATGAGATTATCATTGATGCCACTGGCAGAATCCGTGAGGATGATGTTGGAATCAATTCATATATCCACGGAGATGCGAACAGTCAAGTGTTTACCCCTGACTTTTTGGAATGGGTCAACAGCACACACGGGGTATTTGTGGAACACAAAGCACACAGGCCACCACAAAAGATTCTCTATCTTGCCGAAAATAAGTTGGGAGCAGATAATGCACGGAGGACCTTAAATTTGGCCTTGTCCAACACCACATCTCCATTGACACCATTCTCAACCTATTTACCTGCTTCAGAACTCGCCAGTGCTTATAGCTACAAACCAGAAGCTCATGCTTCGTGGTTTGAGCAGCAAAATTCGTGGTTCCGGTGGGCAATGTCTTCCGCTCAAAATGCGGAAGCAGAAAACCTTGAAACTCCTTTCTTCGATAAACATCAAACACGACTCTCAGATGAACTATTGAAGCTTCTCCGAGTTACTACCCCGAAAGCCGGGTTGGTGACCGGTTTGCATGAATCTGTAACAGCCGTGGTTGGGAAATGCCTTTTTATGCAAAAGCCCTCTTTCAATGACACAGCCATCAGTCCGGCACAATTAGGGAGACTGTCCCTTCCACGGGCTTTCACAAACGATATACCTTTGGTGTCGCGTTTCATCAACTCACTCATGCCTATTCGCCCAAAGAACGGGGCACAGCTCTATCGACTTCGGTTGTGTCCAACTTCCAACACAGGATCCCCGCCGGCACTCGAAATTGAGGTAGCCATGAACTCAAACTTGGATGGCGTGGACGTCCATAGCGTCAAGGCTATCCGCACCACAAACAGCGTTGACTATCTGCTTCCGGAAAATGGTCTAGACCTACGTTTCACACGAACTGTTTCCCAAGACCTCCTGTATAAGCCAACTTCCGACTCAGAAC